TTATGTGCACAAAAAGAAGTGCCTCTTCAGCAAACACATTTACAATGAATGAAAACAGTAGGGTTTTCTCTTAGCAGTCAGTAACTATATTTGTAATGCACCATAGGTCCTTTTAGTTGCTGTTGGAGCCCTCGATCATATTACAAATTGGCCCACTTCAGCTTAAAAGTTTATTCTAGACTTGGGAAACAGCAAGTGACTCAAAAACCCAAACTCATGTGAAGCTTAGAAACCATACATGTACAGCGAGAAGGAGAAAAACAAAATGAAATAAGTTTCCAGTTTTAGGCCTCAGGCAAAAACAAACGTAGTTAAAATGTGCTGCCTTTACCCGTCTAAATTTCATTCAGACACAACCAGATGTTCTGCTTACACATGGGACAAAAGATATCATATATTATAGACTCTTTCAGTGACACCATTCATATGTTAAAAATATTAAAGTAATAGGAATCTACCAAATGGCAAAATAGCATGTTTATGCTCAAATATAACAACCATTTGTTTAACATCATGTCCAAAATGGTAAACTTTGTCTTTGGTTTGCATGAGTGCTTCTTTGTTTACATTTGGGTTATTGTTTTAATTCATTTATTCCCATGTGGAGGCAGCTCAATGTGCGCAGCAGTTGGAGTCCAAGACGCAGCATTGGTCATTCAATCTGACACTTTCTTCCTCTTTATGTTTGAAAATCGCTGAAAACTAAAAAAATACTTCCATTGTTGGATCCCGTCAGAGAAACCAAAAAGCCTCCAAAGTTTAACCAGCATTCATAAATTCCAAAGGATGCCATGAAGAGAGGAGAGGGATGACAGCTGCCTTCATATGGAGCTGATACTTAAGGGACGTGACATCATCTATTGTCTTTCTCCTACATGTTTGTTGTGGTCAATGCAAAAAAAACTGGGCCAAGTTTTGGCAAATGTTTCATTCACTTATTCAGTGGATGTGTCTCCTCGGGGCCTCGTCGAAAATGTCTGCTTGTATTGTGGGTTTAGAGTCACATCCTGATCCTTATTTTCTCTGCTGGTGTTGAAAAGTAGTTCAGCATTTGGAAGCTCATGAACCCGAATATTTACCTCAGGAGACGGAGACCAAAGACAGAGATAAACGACGAAACATTATCTGTATGAATGGATTTAATGTCGTGTTCGGTCAGGACTTAGCAGCTGCTTGTGCTTAGCCCAAGTGGCTAAAAGTGTAGTAAACAGGAATTACAGTTAATTTGTGCAGCTGTGGCTCAGTGGAAAAGTCGGTCGTCTCTCAACCGGAAGGTCGGTGGTTCGATCTCCAGCTCCTGCAGCCACATGTAAAATGTGTTCTTCAGCAAGACACCCCAAGTTGCTCCCTCTGCATGTGATTAATTACTTCTGATGGACACTTTACATAGCAGCCTCTGCAGTGTGAATGTGCAGGTGTGACCTGCCACTCTAACTTTGCTGAGTGTTGCGCTCATGATGGCTTCTCGATTATCTTCTCGAGATAACATTTGTTATGAATTGGCGCTGCACAATAAAAAAGTAAAAGTGATTGATTGATTGATTGACATTTTACTGTACCAAATAAAAGGGCCATAAGAAGTTCCTTCTGGAGGATAAGTAAAACCACGCCGACCCGGGGTCAAACCAGCTTCACAGACTTTGTTCTGACTGTCGGCCATGTGTGAGTGAGGTCAATCATTTTACATCCGCCTCACATGTGGAAACATTCATACATGTAATTATGTGCAGAGCTGACAGTCAAGGTGCATATACTGTGTACACATTCACATGCTGCAGTGCTTTTGATAATATACACACACACACACACACACACACACACACACACACGTCCAAGCCAACTTCCTCCCTCCCTCTTCACCTGATGACTTAAGAGTTTCACGTCTATGTTATCAGGAAAAAGAAAAACGAAGCTCACCTGTGAAAACACAAATCTACACTTTTATTATTTCAGCAGCGCATATGCAGCATTCAGTGGTACAAATCAACAGAACAGAAAGTACAAGGTGTGTTTTCTTGAAGGAGATGTGAAGCAGCGCATCAAGTCTTTTCTTGACGTAATTGTGTTTGATTTACGATCTTAACTCCAAAGCTCTTATATGTGTAGCACAATGTAATAAAAAACAGACGCATGCTCACACAAATGTCAACATACAGTATATAGCAGAGAGGCATTTTTTGCAACCAGGAATACATGGAAAAACAACACCATTAAATCAGTACTGGAAGAAAGGGACACATTTGAGTGGTTAAGTGCACTTGGTTTGACTTGCTTTGCTATGCAACATGTTGTCACTTTCAAAAGCCCCTTTATATGGTTCAGTATTTGAGTTATTTGACCCCACGAGGCCTCAACCCTGATCTGAGGAAATCACATCACAAAAGCTTTCTCCCTTTGATATCTGGTAGGTTGAAGGAACATCAGTCAAAACGGACACGGCTATGAACAGACAATCAACTGGAGGAGACTTATAATGAATATTTCTGTTGATTTAATTTCATTGTTAGATCCTGAGTTACCCCTATACAGGAGGTAGACGTGCCAGCTCTCCTTCAATGTTCAGTTTACTCATTAAATGTGTGGCTCAATGCTCTGTGTGTTATTGAATCATTACTCACATTACGAGTATTTCCACTCATAATCACATGTGCAGGCTATAAAGCTACTTAATTTCATTGTTAGATCCTGAGTTACCCCTATACAGGAGGTAGACGTGCCAGCTCTCCTTCAATGTTCAGTTTACTCATTAAATGTGTGGCTCAATGCTCTGTGTGTTATTGAATCATTACTCACATTACGAGTATTTCCACTCATAATCACATGTGCAGGCTATAAAGCTACTTTCTTAGCCTGCAGGGCATCATCCTATATGGGGATCTGGCTTTAAACAAGTGGTAAAGCGATCTCAACCTGTCTTGACACACTGTTGTTTTTCGCAAGTCCTCAAAATTATACTTTTTTTTTTCAAACAAGTGCATATTGAAAAGACAAAAGAACAATATTCATAGGTCAGAGGAAAGAAAAGAAGCAAATCAAGAGCTCACAGCGATAACCTCCAGAAACTGAAAGTGCTGCCAAAGAGAACGAACCAGAGACTGGTTGTTGCTTTAAGTTAAAAAGATGGTAAACAACGCGTTAAGTTCTCACCTCAGTGGCAGACAAGTAAAAAAGAAGAAGCTGATAATGCTACCTGATACCTCATAGCTGTGATGGCTGGTGATTGTTTGATTGAATATGAAAGGCACGTTTGTGTATATTCTGTCAAATACAACATTATTTTTCTGAGAAAGCTTTTCCATGCATCCATCTGTTTACTCTCGTCTGTTCTCCTTCGTTGTTGCTTCATCTGTCGACTGCTGTGACTGATAATAACCCTTTTTTGAAATTCTTTTTATCAGTTTCATGCTTTTGTTCATTTTCAATTCAGAACTGTAAGGCACATGTCTGTTGATCTGCAGGTTGGTTAAAAGGCATCCAGATGTTGAGGTTAAAAATGCAAATGAAATATTTACTTTTAAGATCTGTTGTCTTGGAAAAGAATAAACAATTTTGAAGGATTTAAGAAAACTTAAAAAAATAGGGACTGAGCCCATCAGGAGAATGTCAGATCCCTCTCTCTGAAACTGATGATGTCTCCCCCTGCTGGCCACAGAATGCACTACTTATTTTTGCAGACTGGTGATTATCCAACCAGGCTTCACGAAACAAAAGACCCTTTTCTCATTGCTCTTGAATTTTGAAAACACATCAGTCTATACGGTCTGGTTTCTCACTTAATTTTCACTTTTCCCTTCTTGAATTTGTCTTCTGTGGTTACGTTGTGGTTTCAAACACAAACCCTCGACAAACATTGAGGCACTTGAACACGAGGTAGGGAAGGTAATTTGCCTTATAAAGTCAAATTCATAACCGCCGACATGTAAACGGACATTATGCGTGCAGATACGTTTCATGTGAAGAAAGTGGGCCAGACTGTTTAAAGGAGGACGGATCTGCACAGACAGATTTCACTGCAGAACATTAGAAGAGTGGGAATTCAACTACAGCTCCTTAGGGGGTGATCGTACGTTTTTTGAAATAGTTTGGCTGTTTTAAAGGAGCAGTAAAGATGTTTTCCCTGTTCAAATATAAAACATGACTGGGTAAAGAGGCAGGTTCCTGCGTACATCTTATTCCAACCTTCAGCTCAGTGTCTGCTGGCTCGGAAGAAGAAACGAACACTTGGGAGGTATCAGCTTTTTTTTAAATGTATTTGAGGGCAGCAGTAAAAACCGAACCCCGCTGAGAAAGGTATAAAACTAGTCTGTTATGGTTGGATTCATTTGTGTTTTATGTATGCATACACTTCCTCATTGACACTAGAACAATCCAGCGCTTGGCAGAAAACCCTGACAGACGGTCCGCTGTAAACCGTACAGGGCGGGGCAGGGCAGGCGTCCATCTGTTTATACTCATCTGTTCTCCTTCATGATTGCTTCATCTCTAAACTGCTAATGACACTTAATATTTAGTTGCATGTTTTTCCTTTTTATAACTGAAAACTGTTAGGCACATGTTTGTTAGTCAGCGGGTTAAAACGGCCTCCAGATGTTGCAGTAAAAAAAATGCGGTAAAAAGCTGAATTAGTCGATTACAAATTTGTGGGATAACTTCTTAATAAGCTTAAAAACAGCTCAGCATACATAAAGAATATTTAAAACTCTTATTAAGCTGTTGTAGCAAATACTGTCCTCCTGATCTCAACTCTCCTTTTCGCTCCGTTTTGTTCTCCACCAACTACCCAGAAAAAATGCTTATTTTTTAAGCTTTTATATTGTCTTAATCTGCTTTTCAGAAACTTTCCTAAGGTTCATTTTTTTGATTATTTGTATGCCTTTAGAGGACAGGAGTGTGGATAGAGTCGTAGTGTCGATAGTGTCTCAAGATAACACTTGTTATGAGTTGACGCTATACAAATAAAAATTGATTGATTGATTAATTGATGACAAACATTTCTGATATTTCTCAAGCAGACAGATTTATTTAATGAAAAGTTTTGCAGTTTGGACCTCAGGCGGTGCAAAACATCCGACAGAACCCAAAAAATGTATTTAAAAAAGGGCATCATGTACTTTTTTGACAGATTTTTTTTTGCAAGGCACACATTCACGACCCACTTTTGGGTCCCGACCCACCAGTTGAGAACCACTGCTGTAAATGACTGAGGATGAGAGACTAATCCGAGGCACTTCCAAGTGTTATAGTCTCTGTGCAGGACCAACGAGTTAACCTCTGAGCTAAACATGCTCCACTTCATCAACTTTGTGTTCGTCCTGCTGGTGCTGAGCTTCTCGATTATTATTCTACATAATCTCTACCTTCCTACAGCTTCCTGTTGTAGCCACAGGTAAGGTTGATGAAAGCGTCATTTGTAAGCTGAAAGAGCGAGATACATCTACAAACCTGTATGCATAACTATCTGTGTATAAAATGTAAAAATGATTCAAACACTACATAAAGTAATTAAAATACATCCAGTGTGAGTTTATAACTACTGGTACTGTAGGACACTGGAGCAATGTAATAGCATTTTAAGCGTTTCTTTGCATGACCATGCAGACACTGTTGCCCCGTTCCCTTTGATTTGACACTTTAAGGCTGCTCGACAGCTGGCGGCATAATGTGAGACAGAAGAAGAAACGCGGCCAGCTGGTAAACGTGGACGTGCAGTAAACGACGTATGATTTAAAAGAAAACTAATGTGTCATGTGGAAGGATAATGCACCCGACATGTTTGTCCCAACACCAAGGACACACACGACGTGTTTATGGTTAGTAACACGGAATGTAAAAAAGAGCTTCTGTTGGTTTACATGAAACCCCACAGAGCGTGTTTTAAAGTGAAAAAGTGACAGCTGAATATGTTATATGAAGAAACTTTACCTACATGTTCTCTAGTTGAACTCTGTTTGACCTGAAAATCATCAAATGTTTGCTGACTATGTAGAGCGCTGTATGATATAAAATGAAGCAGCACGGTGTATATTAAGCATCTACATAATACCGTGAGGAAAGACACTTTCTATTGACGGAAACTTGTCAAGTTTCTTTATGTGCCATTTCAGCTTCTCAGCCTCTTGTGAGTCGACAGCTGATGAAGGAAGTCTCTGGAATGATAAAGTGGCTTTTCTTACGCTAAAGAGTTCAAAACAGCGAACCCTGGATGAGCCTCTGAGAGCTCGTCGTGGAGCGCAAGCCTCTAGACGACCCTTGATCTTCATTCTTCGGTCTTAAGACGCTGTCCCGATGCAAACTCCTGTCATCGATCATCCCCACCAAAACAGCTCGTATGGAAAAGAAGCGCAAAGTTTTGAAAATATGTGCATTTCCTTGCTCTCCTGATTCAGTCTTGAAGCAAAAAATGATCACATGTTCGGTCAGGACAAAAAAAAAAAAAGCTGCAGTGACAAAAAAGCTGCAGATATCCGTCATACACATCATGGAGGGCTTCTCCAGGAAGGAAGGCACTTTCTTTCAGAGGAAAAACAAAACACATTCTGCTTTAAGGAACCCCTCGCCAATGGTAAGTTGTTGTGCAAGTTGTAGCTTCTTAAGAGTTTATATAAAGGCACAGTTAAAGGAGACACTCCACGGCTGCATCAGAGTCAGGTGTATGAGAAGTTCAGACGGTGCAGGTCACACCAGCGTCCTCCACGTGGCCGCAGTTTGTTTTGCCCCAGCCAGGAAACTTACACTGGTGGATGGTGTCTTCGGTCCCTGTGCATGCCACGTCGTCCATCCAGATCAGACCAGTACCTGCAGAGAATAGGGGAAAAACATACTTAAATTTAATGACAGATTGAGTTGAAAGGAAGAAGAAGAAAGACAGATTTTAAGTATTACCAAAACTTTCAAATTCAAGCTTTTACATACAGAACTCTGGGTCTGATTCACCAAAGGATTGCACAGCTTTTGCACCAGCTAAACCAGTTCAAATGAGTCCAAAAGACACCATCTAATTCACATAAACTCAACTCAAACTTCAATGTACCACTAATTGAGCTGCAGAGCAAACATATCCCCCTTTATATGTTAATCGGCCTAATTGCAAAAAGCTTCTTATTCACAAACACAGGCACTTATAAACACAGTTAGAGTGGAATGATGACTTTCTGTTGGAGTAGGCGGTAACTGCGCTGCAGTATTTTTAAGAGATGTCATGCGCAAACTTTACAATGATCAGGAAGCGAGTGCTATTTTTTTCTGAGTCATGCTTCATTCAGAGAGCAAGATTTCTTATATCACTTTTTTCAAGTCGGGCAATAAACTTGAAGTAGCTCCCCCTCCCCTCCCAGCTCATCATCTTTAAGTTGACTAAAGTGTGCTGCTCCGTCTGCATGAGAGTCAATCTCTGCTCAAAGTAAAGGAACAGATGTCTGTGTAGGTTCTCAGTCATCCAGGTCAGGGTACATTTTGAAGCATGATCCAAAGGCAACTGGACTTGGTTGAAGATCAGGAGGTGAAAACGTCTTCAAAGATCTTCAACCAAGTCCAGTTACCTTTGGATCAAGCTTCAAATTCAAAGGTGCAGTACAGCTTCTCTGCAAATTCTAGATGCAAAACTAGAGCAAACGACACAGAGCAGGACGACCTGTTGGCCGTGTAAAAAAAAAAGCTTGTAAAACACTCGTCGGTTCACTCTGCTGCTGCTGCTGGGGCAAATGAATAACTCAGGGCACACAGTTGAGTGTGCATCAACATTTTCATGTTCTGAGAGACTTCATTAAGAGAATCAACCTGAAACAACAACCGAGAGCGGGACAAAAACAGGAGTTTGAAAAAAAGACATCTTTAAGTTCTCTTCATCAGTGTGCATGATGATCAATGGTGCAGACAATTTGTTTTGAAGGGGCATCACATCTGGACATCGACATCAGCAGTCGTTTCCTTTTACGTAGTGTAACACAGGATTGTTCAGAAGTCATGCACACACACACACACACACACACACACACACACACTCAGTAAACACACCCTGAACTCGTTGAATAAATCACACATTTAATGTCCTCCTTTTTTCCAAACATAGAAAGCCGTCTTTTCCCGCATTGTTAACAAAGTAACACATCGTTAAGTTTTGTTTGAGTAATACAGAAGGTCATGTTGAGGACTCATGAGATGTGTTGTTCTTCTCTCCCGACACGTCCTCGTACTTAAAGACGGAACAGGTCGACTCCCAAAGCAAAACATCTGATTATTGGAGAATAAGGACGGCTGTACCGGACTCAAATGGAACACTTGTGTTTTTTAAACACTTGCAGGCTGTTTTAGCACCAATAAGACAAATTCCTTGTATGTGTAAATGTACTTGACAATAAAGAACCATTCTGATTTTGATTCAAGTCTTCTGACTACTCAAAGTGCTTTTACACCGCAGGTCACACCTACACATTCACACGCTGATGGTACAGACTGCTGTGTAAAGTGACCATCAGAATTAATTAATCCCATTCATACATACACATTCAATCACTGCCAACAAAGCAGCGGGAGAAACTTGGGGTTAAGAGTCTTGTCCGAGTACACATCAGACATGTGGCTGCAGGAGCTGGGAATCGAACCCCTGACCTGACCGGTTGAGAGACGACCGACTCTACCAACTGAGCCACAACCGCCCCAATCGTTCTCTTGTCATAGAGAATCTTTGGTTAAGTAAATTATATTTAAGTACGTTATCTTAGCTGAAATAAGACAATGCTGACTTTTGGTCTCCTGCATGAAAGTCTTTTGTTAAACCATCCAACCACCGACTTCCTCTCATACAATGTTCGTAGCCTGACCTCCTCCTTTTCTCCCGTCAGCCACTGGAGGTCAACACCAACCCCTGTTAGCGATATACGTGTTGCAATAGGCTACTCGCTCTGACAACGGACACTTTGTTTTATTCTAGTTGGCATTTTCTCCCTGGGTGATGTTTTCTCAGGCGGACAAATTATTCCTGAGTTCTTGTTCTGTTTTTCACAACACTTTAAACAACTGAAACGAGATTAAGGGCTTCAGTATAATGGTTAACGGTACACCCTTTTCAAACATAAATCAAATGATCTGTCCAAACAAACACCCCAGGAAAAACACCCACTGCTCCAGCTGGTAAGCACAGCTTTTGGCAGTATTGTTTTTCGCTATGAACCAGAAGTTCCTGTTTCTATAAAACGGCAACCACTCAAGCGTTTGATAAAGTCCCGGTTTTGCAACATCTGTGGTCGTCCAGGAGAGGACCCTCAGCTGTGAGGGAATAACAGTGAGATCCTTTAACATTTGGTAACAACATTTGGTACGACCACTTCTCATCTGACTCACGATGATATGGTAATTAAACCTATTGATATGTTGTTCTCTCATAATTACTTGTACCATATGTTCTTAGGGAAATCTGTCTTGGACTCAAAGTGCTGCCAAACAATCAGCCATCAACATGAATCAAAACAATAGAAAACCACATCCACATGTAAACAGAAAGGCACACAAGCTCTGCAAAAACACAGCGTGAGCGATAAGAGAACAAAGGTAAGAGAATATTAAAACAAAGAGGAACACCGTGACGCTATTGCACAACCCACGCCGCCTCACAAACATTATTCAGAAGTTTGATCGACGTGGGAACAAAAATGTGTTTATATAGTGGTTCAGTTTACATCGGGGGGACTCTGTATCATCTCCCATTAAGGTTGTAGTGAATTATATGGAGCATATGGGTATGGGTACACTTTTTTTTTTGCAATTAGTGTTATCTATTTTTTTACATTTGTATATTGTGTTGTTTTGTATTCGTTTCTGTTTGACATCGTGCCCTTAATCTTATTTCAATTGTTAAAAAGTGAAGAACAACAACTCAGGAATGATTTGTCGGCCTGAGAAAATAGTCAAGTGTCCACATATTTCCTCAACGCTGTTTACCTTCTCCATCAGCTGTGTGTTTCATTAAAACACTACTCCAGTTTTAATTTGTTTCCACCAGGTGGATCGCTTGAGGTGGAAGCTTATGTGGTGTGGGAATCAAATCTTCAATGGATCTTTTTATTGATAATAATACGTCGGACTGAACTGTATATGCAACAACAAGGGTCACTTATAACTGCTGCCCCTGAAAACCACATCTGTAGTCTGTGTAATCTCTGCTGCCCTGCTGTCAATCACTCAACAAGAATGCAAACACACTGTGGAGCTTACATCGGATAAAGAATGGAAACAGCATGCAGTGTATATAATATAACAAACATTATAAAATGGAAGAAAAACAGAAAATCAAAATCCAATTTAAGAGAAAACAGAGAAGCCCAATCAGAAGCACTTGTTCTGCTTCGGGCCATACTGAAATCATTTGAGTCCAAACTCTTAAATCTTCTTATTTTTGGAAACTGGCACAAAGTTCAAGGCGCCTGTCAAGATCGGGAAATATCCACCCATTAGGACCATCTGAGAGATGATTGCTGTTGAGATTTGTTGGGACAGTGTCTTCATTAAGAGTAAAGAGTTTGTTTCTAATTTGTATCGTCTGGATAAACAAAACACAGAGCCAGAGTTTTAAAGCTCGTTGCTAAACCTGATGGCAAAGGAGACCAACGCTGAGTAAGTGTCACTGCTTTCTTCTGCCTTGTATCAAGAAATGATTCAGCACAACTGTGTGGAAATAATTGTGTTTTGTGTTTTTCCAGAACAACATGATGTCACAGTGAAGCTGACCTTCACATTTCTGGACATAAAAAGCCATTAATTTACCATTTTAGGATTTTTTTTAGACATTTCTGTTAAATTGTGTAAGATATAAAGTATGAAATCTTCAGGTAATGACTGTCTGACTGATATTTGACCTCCAAACTATGATCAGTTCAATCTGAAATCCATGTGTGACTTTTTTTTGACGTTTGTTTTTATCTATCTGAAAGCATCAGAGATAGTTCAGATGCACGACTTTTTGTGTTTTTTTGACTATTTCACGTAAGTTTAAGAGGTACGGGAAAGGCTTTCAAGGGGTGATGTCGTGATTACAGTAAAAGTTCAGTTTGTCTCTTCTCGTGAACAGGGTGAACACGACCCAATTGAAGGCACCATATGACTTCCAACCACTCATTACCAGATTTTTGTTTCAGTCACTGCGGAGCACCACTCGCCCCATCGTTCTCACCTTCCCACTTCATACCCACCACCTTGCCTCTGCTCCCTCACCTTGCCTGGTCTGCAATACCTCCTGATCCCCCCTGGACATCAACCTCCTGAACCTCAGTACCGATCCTAAAAAAACCTCAGCGTGCGTGCCCTGCATCTGAGCACAGCGATCGGAAGAAAATGGTATTGTTTGTCCTTAGATGACTTTGAAGTAATTTCCAGTCACAGGGCTTCTCTGGTTTAAATACTTCAAGCACAAGTTGCCAAAGCATGAAAGCACAAATTCGTTCAAATATTTGTACAGTGCTCAGTAACAGTTATATGATACCCTAACACAACATTAACATTACGCTGTCTGCCATAAATTATGATATACCATTTCATAACAATAAATCCCTCCATTTGCATCAGGCCTTTTTATTATTATTGTTATTATTATTTTAAATGTCAGACTGTAAGCACTAAAGGTCTAAAATGAGGAGGGAAAAGTCATTAGACCAGTACCATAACAAACTCTAAATTTAAACTTGGAAAAGCCTTCAAGAGAATCAAAAAAAAAAAAAAAAATTGGCTTCAACCTCCACAAGTCAATACATTTACTGCCCAAATAGACCTACCATGTATATCTGTTGGAGGAACATTAATAACCCCACGCAGACAAAGACGGACATATCTGCTGCCAGAAACTCCTTACACATGAACTGTGCTGTGTCCTTACAGGCTTTGCTAAGAGGAAAGGAGAGAGTTGCTCGTTTTACAAAAAAAAGTCTAGACACTGAGCTGTATCAAAAAAAAAAAACACACTCAATTACTAGATAATCAGGGTGTAACACTAACTAGTTTCTATGTATTAGTGTGGACTTTATACCAGATTATAACTGACACATAGTTGGTGCAACAGGTCAAAGGGGGTTTTCTCTCCCCACATTTCTTGTCACTCTACATCTGTCCTGTCAAGTAAGAGCCACAAATAATAAGGAAGTGAAGTCCTGCTTAGTCAAAACATCACATAGAACATTAAACTGTGACTCTTCAGCCAAACAACCCCCACGATGTGGACTCTGTAACTTCTCCTAGCTCTTTAAACCCGGTCGTCAGACTTCCTTCTTACGCTTTACTCACTTCTATTTTCTGCAGCCACTTAATGATAACTAGACTTGGGTTGTTTCCTTCTCACTATTTACATCTCTATTAACACCTGGCAGCATCAACACTGCAGCTGCGTCGCTCCACTGCAGGCTGAGAGCTGATAAAAGATTCAAAATCAGAAATATGTTCTCTAAAAAATGCCGCCTGTAGTGTTCAGTGACTGGCATGTTAGCGGTCCTGCCAGCATCAACTCGGCCCATATTAGAGTTTTTACACAACATTAAGAGCTCAATCAGAGCGGCTAGAGAGCTTTGAAAACATGTTAAATCATCATCAACGAGGACTGAAAAATGTAGGTCGAGTCGAGACAATTTTTCATTTTTCAAAGCTCAACATTCCTAATCAAACAAGGGCTTCAAAGGGTTTACCAGTCTGAACAACATGTGGCGCCATCCATCACTAGAAGGAGTAGAAAATCGGATAAATAAAACTTTATTTGGGATAAAAGAGAGAAACTTTGGAAAAAGCAACACTGGAGAGCTCCATTCTTCCAAGAGGAAATATAAATGTAATTTTCCATAAACATTCAAACGTGCAAAAAATGCAAACAAATGTTTTTTAAGAGCCAGTATCTGAACCGAAATCCACAGAAATCAACAAACCAATACTCTCAGTTAAACCATATGCTCCTTATATTCCTGCATCCCTTTTTACAAAGCAGCAGAACAGAGAGGAGCAGGCTGCAGATTTGACATCTTCAAAGCAGCATGAAACAGCCGGCCCCACGTGTCTGCATGCAGCCGTGCACAGGCTACCTCATGGAAATGAGGTGTGCACCGGGGAATACACGAGCCCCAGCTGCTCTGCTGCTGTGCCTTCTCAGGATTTGTTTGAGTGGACATGGACCTTTAAGCTGTTTACTCTGGATCCTAAAACATTTTTATAGTTAATATACTGTGCACAGGCCGGGGGAAGGGCATGTCCACGTCTGCGTCTCCTCACTGATCATAAGGTCAGACAAACTCTGCTCTTCTGTTTCCAGTCACAGCAGAGAGCGACACCGCTTGTTCACCTATGCGGAGAAAAGCTACTCTTTTCAGTTCCTGGAAATCCTCTGGCTCATGCTCATGCTCAGTGTTCAGCAGAGCGAGCCGGAGCACAAACGTTTGGGTCCGTTGAGACAAAATCATCAAATCAAGCAGGTACTTTAATATAACCATTTTATAGGTTTGGATAACGTTTCTATGTTTTGAAATATTATTATGCTGAATTATTTTTCTCTGTATCCAATATTGTTCTGCAGCACTTGGCCCCTTTTCTCAGCCACCATCAGTATAATTGGCCTGGGTTGGTATGTGAGCTCTACTGAATGATTATTTAATGACTCTGGTCTGTTCCTGATATTTTCTTTTATAAAGCATAGATAAATGCAAATAAACGAGAACACGTGTTGGCTGGATCCAGTGTGATTTGAAAAATCAGAACACATGGAAAAAGATTCATGAAAAATGAAGCTGTTCAATAATAATAAGAATAATAAAAAAAAAACTATATTTGTGAAGTACTTTTCTAAACAAGGCTACAAAACGATTCAGCAAACATTCAGAAATAGATGAAAGGAAAGCAGAAGATAAATCTAGAAAGAAATAGTAGAGGATTTGAAAGAAGCTAGACACGCGGCATGTTTTGTGTTTCAACAATACTTCAATATAATATTTACGAGACAGAAGATTAAAAAGAAGAGAGGCAGATACTCGCTTTCAGCGTAAATTATGTCAGTCTGGAGACTCAAAAACCTCATTATTCATCTGATACTGGTGTCAGTAAAAATCCTAATATCAGCCTCTGCCTGAAACAGTTCATTTCAGCTGCTCTCTCTTTGAAGGGACTTGAGTTTGTATAGCACTTTTCTAGTTTTCTGACTACTCAAGGCGCTTTTACACTGCAGGTTCACACACTGATGGCTGCTATGTAAAGTGACCATCAGAAGTCACTAATCCCATTCATACACATTCACACGCTGCCGACGAAGCAGCAGGAGCAACTTGGGTTTAAGGGTCTCTCCCAAGGACATTTACATATAAAAAAAAAACCCAATTAATATCATGGTTCAGATCTCATCAGTCAAGATAAGATTAAGGATGTTTAGCGCCTCTCAGAGCTCAGAGGCTCCAACTGGCAGAAGAGAGGACGGGGAGTTATGTGCTAGGATACTTCTCGCTTTCTTCCCCGTCCTATCAGTAAATAGTTGAGACAGAAGTTTTTGTGGTTTGCCGTCGATCTTGCCTGCTGTTGACACAATCTTGGAGAGTTAAGGAAAGTGAAGACACACTGAACAATAGATTTGTACATCAGCTCTAAAATTGCTGTGAGCATTTCTGGAAGATATACTCTGCATTTTCAAAGAAGCTCAGCTGGCAGACTGTGCCGAGGTATTCAAAAGTCTTCCCACAGTTTCAACAAGTTGGCCGTCAAGTTAAACAAAAAATATAGTATCAAGATGAAATATTGTTTTTGTTTGGAGATTCACAACTAATGACGCAAATACAACTTGTATGGTCTAATTAACTAAGCTGATGCAAATGAAACCTTGGATGAATTAAAAACGTTAAACCAAACGATGATAAAGGTATTTGGCTGATCTGAAGAGATATATATTCAAACAGCAGATTGTGTTGAAAAGGAAACGCAGCTGTGATGCAGTCCTATGGAACAAAGGCTGTTTTCCTAAAATTTTTCCAGACTTATTTCTAACAGCTCTGCCTGGATAGAGACTCTGCATGATGTCAGGTCCACTGTGTGAATGAAATAAAAACGCTGAGAGGGGAGCGGAGAATTAAAGAGATGGAATTGCCCTCTGAGACTCTTTCTCTTGACGACATCTGGCTCACATGAGTTTCCCTATAAACCGGTTCATATTAATCCCTGCAGCATTTCAGGGCACTTCTAAAAAAAATACAGAGTCGGTTAAAAAACAGAACTACTTCCTTCAGGGAAGGGTCGAAAAAAACGTCATGGATTTCCTGCCATGATTGAATAGATCTGAAAGACAAGGAAAGTACATTCAAATTTATGATCGATATGTTGATCTGGTGTGGATACAGGAGAACTTTGGCACTTTTCAAATATGGCTGAAATTTTAGAGGTTTAGATTCTCTTCTCTCCATCCAGGGAGCTTTGGGTTACCATACACTGGAAGTCTGATGAAAAAAAACAACAACTATATTATGTTGCATTCCTAAACACCCTGATAAACTCCAACAAGGGTGCAGAAACAGATCTGATAGAAACTGTGGAGAGAATGCACGCTTGCTCTCATGCACCGTCTGAAAGGTCTTCAAGTTTGAGTGTTGGAGCAACATGTTACGTCGACTCCTGTGGACCCTTGAACTATGTATGCATGTAATGTAAAGTGGATATATTCCTTTTTTCATATGTGACAGCCAGAAACCAAACCACATCCTATCCAATGAAAGAAAACTCACATGAGCCTCTATCTTGTTTAAAGTGTCCAATGAAAGGTTTCCAATTTTTCTCTCTTTGAGAACTTTGAGCTGCAGTTAGAGCATGAAAAGGTGCATCAAAACTATCTCGGCAAGAGGGAGTCATTGGGGTCATTTGTTTATGCATTTTTCAGTTTGTCAGCAGGAATGTGAAAAAATGAGGTCAAGGATGAGATCGTCTACACACCTCCTCTAATTTTATGTTGTATTTTTACATCAATCCTATCTCTTCTTATTTTCTTTGCAATCATATGCATGCTCTTCTTCCTGATTCTTACTGCTTCAACATATGAGGATCAATAATCATGATCTTATCTTATGTTGATGTTTTTTTCAGGTATGGGTACAGAAAACATGTCCTTTATGGTACCGGTCTGAATTGGCCAGCACTGGGAGCCCCGTTACGCTCATTGAGAAGCAGTTCTTCAATCGAAATTACGTTGACAGTCCCTCATATGAAGGCCTCTAAGCGCAGGCAGTCTGCCAACAATATAGTTTGGATTAACAAATTGCAGCTTGCTTTTCTTGTACACATTTGAGAAGCACTCCCTTTAGTTTCAAATCAATATATGGATAGGAAGTCTTTGTGTTAGTGTCAACCCGGCCCCTCGTTGTGTCTGTGTGCAGAGGCTCAGCTGAGAGCAGACTTGAATGTTCCTTAAGCAAAATAATTACAGGAAAGAAGAGGATTCCGATTAAACAGCACAGAGAGGACTCATCATTATGATGGACTGCTTTAGAAAGCACCAGAGGCAGCTACACAACGCGTGCGCAGTACTCATTAAAAAAGGTTATGTGTATGTGTGTATGTGAAATAGCAGTGTGTGTAGTTGTGCGTTGAGCATCTCTTACCCTGTCCGAACCGCGCCGTCTTATGCACCTCAGTGGCCCCTTGGTGTCCCAGCATCCTGCACACCACGTCTCCATCCTTTTTGTCCCAGGTGTCGTCACACACTGTCCCCCAGCGGCGTTCGTGGAAGACCTCCACTCGCCCCTCATGAGGACCTGACCCGTTCACCAGCCGCACAAGAGTCTCCTCCACTGAAACAAACACACATTCAAATTATGATCTAAAATATCAAAACAAAATAATGGGCAAAAGGATTTTCACACTTCTGTCTCCAAGGGTTAAACCAACATTAAAAGACTCCATGTTCCTCAGTGTGCAGGAATACTGAGCTCTTTATTATTCAGGTCAATGCAACAGGGATGAGAACACTTGATTCTATCTGCTGTTATCATTATTTTCATGGGAGGGTTTACTAGTTGACTAGTTTAATGAAGCATCGTAAATCACATCATGTTTTCCACATGCTGCAACACACTTTGGCCTAAAACCACAAAAATCTCCTTTGATTCAAAAAAGAAGAAGAAAAAAAAACGTGTATTTCCCCCCCTCATAAAAAAAGGCAGAGGGGTTAAAACACAGTGTGCTTCGCAGTTTTGTCCAAAAGGAATGTTTCAGTGATTCAGCTGACTCATTTGAACATCACAAGTTCTGTGAATCCGACGACACAGTCAGTGAGGTTTTCAAAGATTTTGAAATTCACAACTTCCTCAATACATCTGTAAGCATTTATCCAGCCAATCTACAGAACACATCTCCATCGCAGTAAAGATAGTCCAGAACATAACCCCTCAGACAACCACAGCTTGTTGTTTTGTATGAGTGCGACACTTGAGTTGGGATGTATTTGAGCCCTGATTTGACAGTTTAAAGAGCTCTGTCAAAAGAGTGTGGTGCAAAGTGATTTGAGGTGTGTCGGAATAGATTAGATCATACACGATGCACAATCTGAGGCCCAGAGAGCAAAGAGGTTAGATTCATTAGCTTGATTAAAGATGGGTGTGTTTTGGGAGTTAACATGAATCTAAACCAATCAGAGTGTCAGCTCTCATTGACAAAAACACAACCGTATAGATTTGGATTGAATTGGTAAATCTTTATTATCCATGAGGGGGAAATTTGGTTTGCAACAGAGTTCACACACACATCCTAAAAACAGCATAGAAACATAAATAGACAAGTAAAGAAATTAACTCTCATGGATATCATCATGATGGACGTGAGTGAGACAAGGGACCAACAGTCCATTTTTAAATGTACAGGCAACAATGCCTTCTGCTTATTTAAAAACCCAACTGCTGAAGGGACAAAGGACCTCAGATATTTGTAATCTGAAGTTTGTTTGGCTCTCCTAACATAAGTGAACCTCCTCCCTGTCCGCAGGAGTCTATAGAGGGTGCTGAGGGTCTTCTAGGACAGCCTTTGCCTTCTGAGTGACTATTATTGAAAAATAGTGTGCGCTGCAAAGTGCTTTGGGGCTTGTTCGGCCGACTACATTTTATTAGTTACACGGCTCACAATCGGAGGCACACAGTGCAAAGAGGTTGGATAAATTAGCTTGATTATTCATGGGCCAGGCAAGATGAAAAGCAGAGTTTAAGGTCAACAATAATACATTACTAAATACAGACATAACCGATAATCGATTAGTTTTAGAATGAACTGTCTAAAGATGTTTGTGTGTATCTGTATCTGTGGCTGTGTGTTTGTATTTGCAGAAGCTTCATGGATCCACTGAACATCTGGTATTTTATTGTAACTATGCAGCAGCTGTGTGCTCGTATACTTGATTTGTCAGCTTTGAGTACAAAGACAGAAAATGAGAATAAGAGGTACACACACACACACACACACACACACACACACACACACACACACACACAGCTAGTGTTAAGACATACACGCTGGCTGAAAGTGATGACAGAAAGTGCTGGAGAGAAGAAGAAGACACATGATCCAGACAGGATATTAGCCTCATCAGACCATCATAAATTGTAACTGTGTACTATTTAACTCTCATTAAACAGTCGAGTACTTTGCACTCACTAGCCCATCATAATGTAATATCTAACATAATATTATACTATCGTATCCGCTGCATATATACGGATCATATTCCTGCAGGACAAACAGATAATTTAAACCAGAATTAAGATGCTCTTTTAACCTCCCGCTGCTCTTTTTATAGACTACAGAAAGCGATGAGTGCTTAAACAGCATATAAATATGAGTAATTGAATACTCAATTACCTAAAACAGATGGTGAAACCATTTGTTCACTTGTCAAATATAAATCAGTCCCTGATGCTAATAAGATGCTATCAAGTTGGGTAGAAACTGGGAGATCCAGCCGGCATATAATGAAGAAGTTTACTATTTATTTTACCAGGAGGCCTGTTTTTTCAGTGTGTTTGTGATATATCTGTTCATTTAAAAGAATGTTTCAATTAAACATATTTAATATTGTATCATGAGGATAATCATAGAAACAGTTTCACATCTATCATATCAACGACCTGCCCATTTATGTTATGAAACAGGATTATCAGTCTAATATATCACTTTAATCTTCATGTTTGTAGACCCTGAGACCTTTCTCATGTCCCTCTTAATCTGTTCATCTTTTTTACTCTCAGCGCTTCATTCCTCTTTTCCTCTTGAAGTGCCCGAGGCGCCCCATAGAGCAGGAGGGAGAGGAAAGGTCCTGGATGAAGGCAGCACATGTAAACCTGCAGTCTTCACAGATAATAATAACCATACATGAAGACTTCACAGACTTTCATTTCTCTGCCGTGTAGAGCTTGACTGAAAATAATTGGAATTTTGCTAAATGATGTAACTATGAGAAGGTCCTCTTGATTTATTTTCAGTAAACTTAAGAAGAAATCAAGCAGATGCATAATCAGATAATTAAAGGTCACATATTAAACTCCTTTTCAACAGGTTTGAAGTCTCAGAGGTCCCCAAAACATGTCTGTGAAGTTTCCTGTTATAAATCCCCTCTGATCCTGTATTTGATCAGAGAGGTGGGCGATATGGGAAAAATATCATATCACGATTTATTTTGGCAAAATTCCGATCATGATTTTATCACGATTTTTTTCATACTGATATTTAGACAAATTTGTAAGTTGCTGACCAGTTCAACCAAACTTATTTCCCTGTATAATGTTTTTAAATGCACAAAAACTGTGCAGACAAGTTTAGTCTATTTAAAAAACATCTTTGTAGGAGGTCTGGAGGTCTCACCCAGAACATTTTAGCAACAGAAATGTCTTTCCCTCAATTTGATCAATATTTATGCACAATTTGAAGGTTTTCCTCACCACTTTGAAATGATGATTTAGTTATGTGTCCTCTTTTTGTGTCCATAAGGAACATTTTCACGCAGTGATGCATTCCTTTAAAAACATGCAGACTTCAAGTTCTTGTGTTTCTGTTCTATTTTAGCCCTGCAGAGTTCCCACAGCTGGAGCTTCATATACCTGCAGCCTTTGTTGTTTTTTATGACATCATTGGACCAATTTTAGTTTAGTTTATATATAATCAAACATAATACAGAATGTGTTCATTCTGTGACACATAATCAAAGTAAGCTTTACTGACAGAAGAGTTTAATTCATAGAGGGGGCGGGACATTGTTGATTGACAGACAGACAGTCACCATGGTTACTCACTCTCACCTGCCTGCTTCTTTGTAACATCGTTTAGTGTAATCCCTTAGTGTTACTGCCCTTTGTGATGTCATGAAGGGAAAATCTCCAAACAGCCTGTTTGAGCACACATTTTCTGAAAAGTGGAGCAGGCTAAATGTTCTCATAATTGGAGGGCCTGAAGACACATATTAGTTTTAAGGCCCTGACACATCAAGTAGATCGTCGGCCGTCGGTCCTAGTTGGACCGTCAGTGTGCCGTAGTCACCTTAGTTTTTGCGGTGTGTTAGCTTAATTTGATATCCAGTTACAGCTGCTCATATTGAACATTGACAGTCAGACAGAAAGTAAAAATACAACAAGTCTTTTAAAAATCTGTCCTATCCCAAGGACCCATTATTAAATAAAGATACATAAACCTGTGTGGTATTAACCATCATTAACCACATATTTGTCGTATGAGAACAGCGGCGTAGCAACAGTAGCTAACGGCAGCACAGTGTTTGGTGAAAACATTTTCTGGTCTTTCTTCACTCATGTTTCCAAATGGTGTTGTAATAAAATGCAATATTAACCTTTCTAAACGACATCATTCTTTTAGGGATAAATCAAATTGAAAAGGAATAACTTTTTTTATTTTTCCTGCGGTGGAAAATACGTCTGAAAAAGCTGATTTCAACAGATTACTTTGAGCTGTAGTCAAGTAGTTGATGACTTTTCCGGATTTAAAAAGCGTTTGCACAAGGATACACTTTTGGAGAGGAAAATAATCATACAAAAATAAATACCTCTTTAAGTAATTAGAACAAAAGTCAATGATCCCACCTCTAACTTGTCCTCTCTCGCCACAGTTTGACAGATGTTATGATTATACTGGACATCCAACAAAGAGGTTCACCATGAAGTAGAAACACTTGCTAATTTGGACAAAAACTTGACATGTCCTAAAATTTTTGCTCTTCTTTTGTGAGTTTATGTGAGCTGCAAAAAGCTATGATTAGTGTTCTTTTTCTGAGGGATAACTATAGAAGTGACCTCCAAGAGTTTGTGGTCCAAATGGATCAAGTTTCAGAAGCCAAGAGGAGCTACAGCACCAGACTGTCAATAACTAAAGAAACACAGAAACACAGCCAGAACATGGCGTGATCGTATGTTACTAATGTCTATCTGGCAGGCAGCAAGGGTCTGGACTGGGCAGCAGTGAAGAGCTTCAGGGCAAAAGTTAACAAGCTCCATCTGTGTATGAAATCTTCTCCCTTTAAACTTTAATGTCTTTCATGTTGGATGCCCTCCTACATGATCTCTTCTCTCCATTTCTATACTCTGGTTTCTTTCCATTAAGCATAATTTGTTTACTTCTTACTGGGTCGACTTGAACTAAACATGAATACTCCATATCAGAAAACGAGGTCATTCAGGTCCACTAGCCTTTTTTATTTAATTTATTGGAGCTTATTTGCTTTCTGCAAAATTATGGACGAAAAGATTGACACAACTCTGTCATTCTCAAAGTCCTTCTCATCCCGCTTCAACCCTCAACTTCTTAACACAGATGTCCAACATTGTCTTCATCTGGTTTAATCCTGATGATGACTTCTTCTTTGGCCACTTAACTTCTGCTCATGTTACCCTCATTTATGTCATAACAGCACCCTGAGGAGTCATATAGTGTTGAGTCAAATTGGCAGGGAAATTAGAGTGTTGTATTTTTTTTAACTTAAGACTTGATATTTGGCACCAGAGATTAAATAATTGCTTCACATGAGTTAAAACTACAATACATATTGCCGTATTTTCCATACCTGAATATTAGAGATGTACCCATTGGGACAATCAGGGCAGATTACGATACCAATGTTTGGTTCATGACGTCTTTTGGTGTTAGACTCCCACAATGCCAACTTTTCCTCTCATGTTAAAGGTAAACAAGTCAGAGTTTGTTCAACAGGTGATTCCTCTGCCCCTTAAGAAACCTCTTCTCTGAATCAGTAGTTAGGTTTACAAGAGGACGTGGCATTAAATTGATTTGGCGCAACAAATAAACATCAGCTACTGACATCTGTTCATGCCTCATTATTTGCAGATGTGCGGATATCTGTCAACAGGGTCGATAATCGGCCAATAACTATGTTGAACCTATCATAACCTTGCTCCAGGGCCATGACAAATATGAGAAATAACACAACTTATCTTGAGATAACAATGATTTATTAGAAAAACGCAAACCAATTACCATAGCACAAACAAACATTGAGAGAAGGTGGATGTGTGGCAAGAGAGAGCCAGCTCCACCCTGGGGTCGGGCTTTTATGCCCTTAGAGCTACCAGCCCAGGTGCTCTCGATTGGACTAGTCCTAGTAGACTAGGAATCAGACACAGAATCAATTAGCCAATTCAAGAACTAAGGCAGTGACCGTCACAAACCGATACATCGGTGCACCCCTACTGAATATCCCCAGGTTTCTAAATCTAATCGAACACAACTAACACAGAAGACTTAAGCTAAAAGCTGGTTTGCTTAGTTTAGATTAAAGACTGGAAACAACAGAAAACATAAAGTCTGGCTCTCTGTCCATGGGTGACATTACATTCACAATCTGATATATAATGATATACACCAATATTAATGTAAAAGATGCAAGTAAAAATGTGAAGTTGTGTATGATTCTAAAGATGAGTAAAACCAAAATACTGACACAGCTTATTGCTTTAAACTATTCTCAGCACCACACATGTCTCTTATTGTGTGAAGAGTGTTTCATGTGGAGCTGAGTGTTTATTTTTTATTGTGTCACACAAAAATAAATTAGATCTTCACAGCAGGGGAGCTGAGTGGTTCTGTCCCAGGCACAGGTGAATGGATTTAGGAAATAATAAGTAACATCAGTAACTGAGTAAGCAGGGTTTCTGAGTTTCACACACAACATGAGCTGTTTATTGTTAAAATAATGACTTGAGGATCCAGGGCAAAACTAATTTACTCATGGTGGGGGTCTGCAGCTGAATTCTTTGATGTCCCAGATATTCAGTTAAAGCTGCGTTCATGTTCAATTTCAGAGATTTTGAAATATTTCATGCGTTTAGACAATGAAATCCAAGTGACACAGTTTAGTATATTATGATCTGTCCCTCGAATACAAGGGAAACAAAAAGCATTCACAGAGCCACAATAATTTAATGGATTTCATCTGCTCTGACTTGGATTAAAAAAAGTTTGAGCACTAAATTAAGCTAAGGTTAGCAGAAGCATATAACGACATGTAACTGTGCTGTCAAATGATTCATTTTTTAAAAATGTACAAATTGCCGGATTTGAATAGTAATCACAAATTTAATTGAGTGATTGTAATTAAATTATTTAGCATTTTAAAACAGTTTTTTCAATGCTTTTATAGTGTATATTTGCGCTGTCTGTAGCTAATGGTTCTTAACTTCCTGTTAAGTGATCAAATCTGCTAGTAGCAGCTGTAATTTCCGATAAATATTAGCAAACAAGCAACATGAGGCCAATTAGATACTGGTTTTTCAAGGTAAATATGCCACCACTTTCACTTGCAGGTTTCAACTTTGGTGAATTCCTATTTTCCTCTATTTTCTTTACGTGTTGTTTTGCTGAATTTAAATACTTCACATTCAGTTAAAAAGATCAATTATCCACATGCAACAAAATAAACGGTTCAACACAGCTAAGATCTCTCCTTCTTTTCATTCTACAATCTGGCGTCCATTTGCTCTACCTTGTTTTGTTTTTTTGGTGTCGAGGCTTTCAAAGGATGTTAAGATTTTGATCCTTTCAGTGACATTACACTCAGTGTGGCAGGTTCCTTTTGTGTTAACACCCAACATGTGTGGAGGAATGTGCATTCTTCTGGCAGACAAAAAAAACTTCAGTGGTGTCAGGTTACTCTGGTTCTGGTTCTGGTGATCATACAGGTATGCACCGTGTGCTTTGAAGTGTAAGAAGATCAGATGAGAAGTCAGCCACATGAGGTCTGTGACAGAAAAGTGCGCGACGCAGAGATTACACATCTCTGACAGCCGCCAGCATGTGGTCTCAGCATGCCTTGCTTTCTGTTAAACCTCAAACATCCGCGTCTTATTAATGACGTGGGGAAAGAACTGATCTTTGACGGATCTCTAATGGGCAGGAAAAGTATTAGAATGGCCTGAGGGATATTTGATGCTAATGGTACTTCATCGCTCATCATATGGACCGTGATGATGTAACATTCCAGGCATAAAAAGCAGAGAGAAAAGTCTGTGGTTTTTGAGGTTATTAATATTCTGCCTCTCTCTTTGAATCCAGATTGGTGTTTTTTTCTGTACGTGGTATCGTCTTACCACTACAGAACATGTGCATACATATAATGGTTTTCAAGGCCTTTTGATGTACGCTGAGCCATAAGGTTCTTCATCATGTGTTGGAAACGGTGAGATTACGCTGAAAGGAAAGCAGATCCACTGATCCTTTAAACCTCCCACAGCACTTTGCACAGGATGTCAGGTGGAGCGGCGATGCACGAGGCCCGTAAAGTCATCAGCTTGTAAATGTCTTTGTTCTTGTATGATATACTGTTGTGTCTGGAACATATGCACTGATATATGTGCTGGTATAACGGCAGTGTGCCCAGTAGCATTAAAATTATTTTAGTGTCTGTGACCGAGCGGTTAAGCGTACATTTATGAAAATATAAATTGGAAAAGGAGAACATTTTTTTGAATTTCCACGTGCTGTTATATTTGATGCTCCCTATATTTTTATTTTCCATTTTCACAATATGGGGTAGCTTCTTAAAGTAACATACCTCCAATGCAACCTGATAACAGTCTGCATGTAGCATGTTTTATCATTCTGAAAACAAGTTTTGATATAACTGAGAAGGCCGATTAACAACTCAGCCACTGTTAAGGTGTCTGCAGATTTTGTGTAAATTAAAAAAGTCTGTCCGGAGAATCCTGAAAAACCTTCAGAAGAGCTGCAGTTTTGTTAAAACCATCTTTGAGATCCCGAAGAAACATATTAATTTTTCGAGATTGCTCATCTAAATAAAAAATCTGGACAAGCTGTTTGTTGTTTGTAGCAAGTGAAGCTTTTAAAACTCTGTTGTCCCGTTGTATAATAACAATAAAGGCTTTCTATTCTATTCAATAAAAGCTCTTACCTGATTTCTCTCCTCTGAATCCTCGTTCCCCCTTCTCTCCCTTCAATCCTCTCTCTCCTCTGTCACCTGAGAACAAAAAATCAGAAGAACAAATCTTACAGACTTTACAGAGGCAGGGATAAACTTAACTATGAACTGGGAATTAAGCCTATTTCTAATATTTTACTTCAGCTGTGTGAAGATTTTTCCACACCGATATTGCTTCATTATACCAGTAACCAATTTGACATGATGGCATGAAGATTGAATGGCAGGTTTAACAGAAAAACACAGATATCTCAATCTTCTTGAATCTGAAGGACAGTACTAATATGCAATAGTACCTGAGTTTGATTAAAGACTAATCATCAGCTGAACTCAACACTTCCAACCTAATCTTACCATCATGTGTGCTACAGTGCCAACCATAATGTAGCACACATAGTGGAAGAGATGAAATAACACACAGGAGAAGCTTAACCATCCACAGGTTTAAATTTTACAACCTTCCCTCCACTTCACACCCATTTCCTCTTCTTTCTTCTCGCTTTGTGTATTTTCAGAAAAAGCCCCTTAAATAGTCAGCCCTGTAATCTTGCCATGGGATATAAGGGCATAAAATGTAAAATTAGAGGATCCCCACCCAGCGTTTGAGGCTTAATGTACCTCTAGAAGTTGTGGTTAAAGGTTTTTTTTTCTGTATTGGAGTGGAGGTGAAAAAGGTCAGGGAGCAAATAGTGAAAAGATATAAAACAGACTGTTTGGACTGAAATTAGAGTACCAGTGTCAAGGTCATTTTTTGTGATGATGCGTACATGTTGGAAAAGGTGACACAATGCAGAACTGCTCAATTAATGGAAGTTAAACTACTCTTATTTGTGGTTTCGGCAAAATTACGGTCATTATGTACAACGCCTCCCTCCAATCAAAATCTTGGATCCGTCTGTTTCTCTTCAATATACAATTTAACTTCTAACGCCCAGGAATAAACTCCAAAGCACCATTTGTTGCCCAATTTCAGCCACGGCGTTTAAACAAACCACATGTCTGTTTTTGCCATGAAGCTATAAGAGGATCAGCCTCAAGCCTGCAGTTATCCCACCTTTAATTTGACTCTTTTTCAAATCCAAAACCACAGAGCTGCTGCCGCCAGCCGAGGTGGCACTCTGTCCTAACCACCATGTGTAACTGAACGTGTGTGTCCACGAGTGAGTGGCATAGTTGACACCACACCCTGCCTGTGACGTCCATAAGCTGTCACCTTCATCTCCATCACATCCTTAACAACTAAACAACAATACGAGACAAACACAAACACTCTGTTACTTATGTTATTGAGCCACAACACATGCATTTGATTTGAAACTAGACAATACATTTCCTCTGCTGGCGGCCGTCACTAACAGCAATGGGTAAATGATTAACCAGATTATTTCCACAATTGTTTGAGGCATTGCCATTCAATTAATTTCAGACATTTACTCAGAAGAAAATTCTCACGAATCTGAGGATCCTCTGACTTTCCTTCTACTGCTACCAACAGGCCAAAGATTAAACGTTTTACTTTGATTTAAGATATCATAAATACCTCTTAAAATAATAACACTCCCATCAGAGTTACGGTAGTTGATCTTTGAGTTCAGGGCTTAAAAGAAAATGAAGGCAAGCTAAAAGACTTAATATGGGTCTTTTATGGCAAGAAACATAACTAGCATACTGACATCAGTATTTAGTTCAAAGCAAAATGGGTGCCTGAGTACAGAGGTTCTTACTTTGCTTGCAGTATGGTTCATATTACCAGTAAATAAATGTCAACTAATCCTGAAATTGGGCATGACTAAGCATGGCAAACCAAACCAGCTGTGATTATCCAAGTGCTCTGCAGATTTCACCAACTTTTGGCTTCTTTTTTGTGGGAATTCTAGTGTCCAGTCTCAGTGAATATTAAAAAATCTCTGATGAACCAACTCTACATTACTTTGGCTCCAGATTGCAAAAGAACAAAGTTAGTGACTAGTAAATTGCTAAAAAGACGTCAAATATGAAAACTTTTTTTTAAGCCAACAGAATCACATCAAACAAACAAGAGGACATGCAACTCTGAGACGCTATCTCCTCTACCCTGCTGAGCCTATAGATCCTGTTTATGAAAATCACAGAATCATAAACAAGGGACAGTCCACTGGGAACCTACCAGACCTTTGCAGGACTATTGCTGGTACCATGGGAGTTTGATAATTCAGTTTAAATGTGTTTCAAGTCAAGTCAAGTTTATTTATGGCACATTTCATTAACAAGGCCATTCAAAGTGCTTTCATGGACTCGGAGAAGGCCTACAACCATGTCTTACTTGGGGTCCTTTAGAGGGTTACTTGGGGACAATGAGGTACCAATGACAGCCAACCGGTTCTTTTATAACCAAAGTGGGAGCTGTGTCTGGAACCATCCCACAAAGACAAATTAATTGACTAGCATGCAATCCCAGAATTAAGCTGCAATTGTTGGACACTGAAATAGCCTCTTGGAGCGATGGCAACATTTTTTTAGAGCCAAACTTTAGTGATAAAGGACTTCCAGGCATGACTTCCTTGTGTTGCCATTGTTAGCAGTCCATCAATCAACTGGTGAAGCAAATTGAGTAGGAGTTAAGAGACAGCGTCTATCAGTGGATTGTTAGCTGTTCTTCAGTGAGGATATGGGTTCCCCTTTTTTGCTCCCCTTTTTTGCTCTCCATACAGATAATAATTAAAATGCATACCGCCAAATTCCAGTCAACCATGCAGCTTTGACTAGAAAAGGAACCAAGACTCTTCCGATGCCAAAAATTGTCTCACCACTCACAAATGTATTTTTCCTGCTCCTAAAGGTTAGAGGATATAATTATTGCAACTTTAGATTTCCATGGCAGAAAAAGTTCTTGCTCATGCACCATGTTAAACTCAGCTGATCAGTTCTTCTTGACAACCAAAGAAGTGAATATTTTATGCACTCACCCTTCCTATCCGTCATTCATCTATACAATAAACCATGAAGTTTCCCAGTGCTATTACAAGCTTTCAGCTTCCCTCCAAAGCTGAGGAACAGCCTTCCGCTGAGGCCCCGTTCACACCAGAAAGTCTACAAACTCTTCACCCTTGACTGGGTTGTTCAAACCACAACCAGACCCTGGATGGGTGAAAGCACAGTCAGACTTTGTTGTAAACCACTAGAGGGTAGATGAACAAACATCCGCAGAGGTCCTTGTTTTCTTAATTTTGTCTAAAGTTTTGTATAAAAAGACTTGTTCTGTGCTTTGAACTTTCTGTAACAGAATTAAATTTTCAATCAAACAATGTCAACAGCACCAAGACTCTTTGCATATTTGTTCAGCCATGGTGGCCATTGCTGCCTCTGCTAATTGTCAGTGTTTTCTTCACTCCAAACAAATCTGAGGACTTTTACACAAAACAGCAATATGCAAGCAAACATAATACAATTTTCTCTCGACTGTTTTCATTAATTGATTTGTACAACCACCACAAACAAGTGACGTTTGCAAAACATGATGCTTCCACCTTTTGTGATCTAGGCTTAAGCTGCACATGCAGATCTGCTGAATCAAGACATGGATAAAATGTGACCATTTAATAGATGAATTTGGTCCAGTAAAATAAATGACTTAAAATTGAGTACATTTAGTATAAAAAATGGTCAACTGATGTAATCACTTATTGTCCTGCTGTGAACTGTTGTTTTCAGCATTCTGGTGATAGTAGCAACCACTGGTGAAGTTCAAGAGTAGTTTTATTTTTCTTATTTAAAGGCATATTTTGGGCCTTTTTATGCCTTTATTTAGATAGAGGCAGGATAGACAGTGAGGAGAGAGTGAGGAATGACATGCAGGAATGAAGCCACAGGTCAGATTCAAACCTGGGCCTCCTGCTTGAAGGACCACAGCCTTCATACATCGTTTTTAATCGTTTTACACGTTTTTAGTCTTACCACTAAACGCCCCTTTCACAGCATTATATTTCCATTCTTCTTTTATTGCTCTTGATGATGCTCAACTCTTGTTGATATGTGATCAGTTGTAAAAGCCATTATCCTAGCTGTTTGAATGTGTTGCTGTCACCATAGCACTCTGTAAAACTATTGATTGTGGTTGAGTATTTAACTTTATCTATGGTAAACTTTGAATCCTGCATTTGCAATTGATCACCTTAACAGCAAACAGTCTTGATTGTGTTAAATCTGAGGGAATCGAGGAATGAGAAGGAGTCAGCATTGTCCTATCAGCAAATGGAATTTCAAGCTTACTAAGAGACAGTAAGCTACAGCTGTTAGCAAGCTGGTTTGTGAAGCAGAGCTCTTTCTTTCTAACAGGTCAAATGATGTAGATAGTAAACTGCCAAGTAGAGGAAATAAAAAAAGTGGTTGCTTCTGTTGCTGACTAGCTCAAAAATGTTGCGGCACTGCTAGCATTTTAGCAGTTAGCTAGCTGTCAGCAAGTCTGTTATTTAAGAGATTCCCTCTGCATTTAAACACACATTGGAAAGGGTAAATTAAAACATTCGTTCATTAACCAAAGCTAAAGTGGATTCTGTTGAGCCATAAGCATGAGGACAACAGATCAGCTTGGTCCAAGGATTTAAGCACTGCTGGCCAACACAGGGACTGAGGGCTTCCAACACTGGACATTTCAGCCAAACCAAACTCTGATTGGGAACAGCTGTTGGCTAAACACCCATTTATACACAAACACACTGACATGCTGACCCAAAAAAGACTTAAGTGCCTTATCATATTTATCAGGGGTATGCTTTCTTTAAAGGTACTCAGTGCGTGTTTGTTATCGTTGGCACGGTCCAGCTGCTGATGCCAAAGTGGAAACATCAACAACCTGCCCCAAGGGGTTTATGTAGATAGAGTCTAATGGATGCATTGACGAATGGATGGAAAAGTGGATGGAAGGAAGAGAAGATAAAAGAGACACTGTATGTGTAGCACCAAGTCATCCAGTTGTGTTCAGTGATTTTTTTTAAACCAAAGTTGGCATCAAATTACACTTGTGTCAAAGCATTTAGTTCTGATTTCCACTTGGACAGTTTAAATGCTCGCGTCATATCAGTTTATGTTTAAAATGTGCAATGAAAAAATAAAGGACATAAAGTTTGAAATGTTTTCGTATATGCATAATGGTATATACAGCTGTCTATTAAAAGACCATGGTGGATATTACATCATATATAGGAGTTTGGATCCCTGTAAGAGCATTTAATAATGACATGATTGGTTTCTGTGGTTTGCTCTGGACCTCTGCATTCCTTTAAAAGTGTTAGGAAAATAACAATCAACGCCTCCTCCAATGACTGATTAATCGGTCCATTTGAGGTAATTTAAGAGCCATTTCTTGGCTATTGTCAAATAAGGACAATTTCAATGGTGGACTGTAAGCTTGTTTTAATGATAGATTGATGAATGAATGCCAGAGTGAAAAACTGCAGTGGGTTTTTTAGCGGTAAAGAAGGATAAGTCGGACGATTGTCTATGAAATAAATAGCCATTGAAAAGTCAGAAAGCAGATGGATGGCTAGTAAAAATCCCAATCAGGGATCTATTGAGAGAACTGGATATTGAGTTCTTTTGAGTTGCTCTTTGGGCTCTTTCAGCCTCCTCAAGAGATGCACTTCAGAGTCCAAGTCTGGCTTAATCGACTTTCTAAATGGTATTTCGGATATTGGCTCAAATAGCAACACCACAAGAATATCTTGAAATGCTTTGGTCGTGTCTGGGACGCTAAATTTGTGGTAAAATATTTTAATTTCAACATGAAACTCACACACAATAGTCGTCTCTTTTGGACTCCCTAAAGGCAAATGCCAACTGTTGAGCAGTTATAAATCCAAGGCAAAACACAAGAAGAAATTAGTTTGACAAGTCAGTGATCGAAGCTATGTGAAAGATTTGGTTGTGTGGCCTTGTTAGGAGTTTTCTATTTCAGGCGAAAAATTAACATGTAATGCAACCCTCTGAGAACCAAGTTTGTCAGTCTAAAAAGTTTGAATGGGTTTGAGCTGTGAAAGTGTTGACCAGACTGAGCTGTGAGTCGACAACACTGCAGAGAGTAACCAGCTTTTTCTACTGACTGAATTACAAACTGTCGGGTGAGTGAGGAACTGACTTACTTCATAGAGACTACTACTGTTTCCTCAATAAAGAAAATAACCTTTAGTGTAAGGTTTTAATCATGTTATCAACAAGTTGTTGGCTAGGAATGAACAAAATCAAAACCAAAGAACCATTTAAAAACCTGACCTGATAAATAAAAAGACGTACCTCTAGGACCAACAGGTCCGACTTCTCCTTTTTCTCCATGAACGCCATCGACCCCGACGGACCCTGTGACTCCCCGAGGACCCTGGATGCCTTTTTCTCCTGTAAACCCTAAATCAAAAACACACACAACATTCATTTCAGTAAATAATTCATAACAATGAAACAGGAAAAAGTGTGGTCATAATACGTCACAGTATTGACCATTTGACTCTCCTTGATAGTACCTTTCATTCAAAAGTTCCAGTTAGGGGTCAATCTTGTTGAATGTTCTGGATATATATTGGACAAATATTTGCAGAAATAAAATCACCATATTTTGAAATTCATCTTTGTTTCCTGGCAATTTTAGAATAGCCCCTCCAAATAAATTCCAGATGGAGTTTGTTCTGGTGGGTTCCACTAAATAAAACATTTCAGAACTTATTTTTTTAGCTGTAGAAGTGGAAACTCTCTAATCTAATCAACGCACTGAATTAGGGAGGCTGCTGTGTTGTGTTGTGTGTGTCATTCAGAAATCAGTGAAATGAGGACTTTGTCTACTCATTCATTAATGATTGAATCAAGTTTACTTTTGTTGCACTTACAAAATTCTGTGTATACTATAGAAATTTGACCCCATTTCCGATATGCCTGGTTGCTTCCTATCGCTCTGGGTTCTTACATTATTGACAGTAGAAACAAAGAGGTTGTTTGTGATGTAAACATGGGTCTTTTTCTTGTTCCACCAACTGCTGATGTGTCACTGTGGAATAGCATCTGTTTTGTTCCATTAATCAATCCCTCAGATTTACCGTTTACTCCAACTAAGTGCCATATAATGAGCCCATCTGTTGACAGTCAGCACACTCAAATGACTGAAAATTAATGAGGTAATTACTTATTTATAGCACTTCTGTCATATGTCGCTGTGCCCTGCTGTGCTCTGATTACACTGATGTTACTGGCAATCTGAATAACTAAACCAAAACGCATTATAGCCAGAGACTCAACACAAAGTGATGATGGATGATGTCATGTCCCCTGTGGTTTGCTGTCTACGCACAGTGAAGGGTCAATAACTCACTCTTCAAAATCCCCAGTGGGAAAATAGTATTAATCATACTTTGGAAGGAGTGAAGAAGTCTTCCTTGTGATTGTGCAGGACAGTCTGAGGAGATCGTCTAACAAGCCCAAAAGGATTTTTAGAGCTTGAAAGCGATGATGGATTTCTTGGAGCAACAGAACATCAGGGCTTCATCATTAATTGAAAAATAGGACCCATTGTCGATAAAGGTTTCCTGTCAGCATCGGCAAAAAATGTAAGAGGGAAAATTGAAATCATGTTTACTCTTCTGCCTTCAAGCTGTGTTTGAAAGATCCCATGAAATACTTTTCAGTGTTAGTTTAATTTCACTTGATAGCATCAGAATCCGACTGAGCCCTGCTAGGCACAGGTAAGCCAGTCGATTTCCATGGTTTACAAATTTGTGGATTTGCAAACTATGGACACGGTTTCATAAGCTGTGCACTCTAATGACCCTGCGTTGCAAATAGCCAACAGAGATCTATGGATGGACACAAGATCCATCTTCATGCTATCTATATTAAAAAAAAACATTTTCTACAGTCAGAAATTATTTTTGTTCACATTTCTCAGAAAGTGGTGGGGGGTTTTCTTTCAGCAGTAGGATAATGCTTCTTGGAAGTGTCATGTGAGAGCTGCAGTTCTTTGGCCCGGGAATGCAGGATGGATGATGACAAGGGAGGAGCTGAGAGGGTGATGATTCAAGAGGTACCAAGCTGAAATGGGTCCTGAAAACATCTGGATTCATACTGTAGCTGTTCCTATCTTACAGTAGTTATGAAAAATGTTCAATTTGGTGCCAATTCGGTCTGGATGGAGGTTCATGCTGTGGTTTTGGGTGGAATGACCTGCAAAGACAAAGATAGACGACCTGTCCCAATGGCCCTGTCCACACCCCGTCTGAAAATAAATCTCCCATGCAGAGTCTGGGGCCGTGTTTTCATAAGCGGATTTATATGACCATTTTTATTCTCTGTGCACACTGCATTATAAATGCAATGTAATGTAATCACAAGAGCAGAGGTAAGAACGGTGGCCAAAGTCTGCTTTGTGTAAAATGGAGCAAGATTTTCACCTTTCATGCCACTCAAACTTAAATCCCAGTGCATATAAAACGGCTTGTAACTCAAAATTTGATATTTACACTTGAGACATTTATAGACCAGGTAAATTGAACGACCCATGGGACTATAAAACCCCACCAGTGCAAAAACACACACATGGAAGTCAAACAGAGAATCAGGCTTTATGGGACTCCTTGTCTGTGCATCTTCGGCTTTGCATTAATTAAATCTAGAAATAGTTTTTATCACTCAGTAGTAAGCAATCAATCTCTTCTTTCTTTCAAGTACGCAATAGCCATTACAGTGTGACTGTGTCGTCTTACAACCAACATAACACTCATTAACATACACAACATTCAATATACACTTACATCCTAACACATAACATTACAGTACTAACAGACGTGACAAAACATGAACACACTGAACACAATGACAGGGTGAGGACAGCCTCTAACAAATAATGATAATGCGATCGTTCATTTCAGGGCAGTGGTATTACAGTTCCTCTGTACTCATCCCACTGATTAATTTAAAGAATACATGTAAATATGTATACATGTACCTTCAAAATGCATCTGCCTAATTATACACACTTGAGTAGTTTGCCCAAAAGTTTGAAGCTTTGACAGTCATGAAAAAAGAGAGTAATATTTCAAGTTTACGCACAAGTGCAATGCTTACTTCAGAGAGGAAAACTTGATCAAAAAAAGTGAATATTGTGTAACTTGTGTTAACAGTTTCTTAGCACTTATGATTTTAGTTTTGTTTTAAGGACAAAATTTGATGTAGTCCACATAGCAAGTGATTGATGGAGTGTCTTTCAATGGGATGCTTTGTCCTCATTTCCTTTGTCATATGTCAAGGACTTGTTCAACATTTTGGTAGTACACTCATCCCTTTACTCTCTTAGAGTTAAATGAGAAGATGAGACTTTCATTTCTGTCTGTCAAATACACTGGAGCCACGACGTGATTAGCTTAGCTTAGTTTAGCTTAGCAAAAGAGACTGGAAAATAGTGGAAACTGCTTTCCAGCACGTCATATTTGTGTTTTAAGTCTTTATACGTAAAAAAAATCAAACTGTAAAAGTGACTAGTTGTGGTTTTATGGGGGATTTTGTGTATGATGTTTCTTTGGCTGAAAGAAGGGACCTGTTTCGTCTTCACAGTTTCCAACAAGTTTCACCTCGCCAAAAAACAGCTGAGTTTCCCTCTCTTCTTCAGACAGAGCCAGTCTAGCTAATCGCTCCTGCTTTCAGTCTTAATGCTAAGCTATGCTGCTAACTGTCTCCTGGCTCTAGCTTTTTAAATGTTAGCCTTTTTATTGTCAGCAGGGAGAGCTGTCGATTAAAACTGGGGTTCTGAGACATTCAAAGGCCATCAGGACTTTTCTCCATCTCTATCGTTACAGACAGAAATGAGAGTGGTCTCAATCTTTCCATTCCACCCACCTTTAGCCAGTAAGAACAATTCCTTCAATCTCCAATAAACGTATTTTAATTTGTGTGAAGTTGAACTTTTTATGCAATTTATTAACATATGAACAGGAGTCTGGTTGTGCTCACCTCTCAAGCCGGACAACCCTGGAGCCCCAGCAGGCCCCAGTGGTCCACTATCACCCTTCTCCCCCTTTGGCCCTGGAGGACCTGCAGAAAAAAACACGAATATATTCACAATTAAAGACAGAATGCAGCGGTAAACTTTTCAAACAATGTCAAATTTGAAACCAGTGGATACCATTTGTAGATCCTGCATTACTCACATCAGGCTGTATTTATATGCAGCCAAATCAAAGTAAAAGGCAAAACTTTACTCTCAGTCAGTTTGTGCTGTTAAAGCTTTGCCCCACATGTTTTCAACACTGGTGTAGGCTTTTAACTGAGAAAAACAACATCAAGCTAGTTAAGGAAAAGTTCAGTGAGGTTCTCCTTTTAAGTAACACGGAAAGTTACTTTGTGAACCAGCAAACCAGCTGTACTATTAAATACAGCTTTACTTAACGCAGCATGTTATCGTTCCCAACAAACAAGTGAAGAAAGTTCCCCTTGTGTACAAATTTGCCAAAAGATGACTGTCTCTGCATCTTTGTGTTTTATACATTCACTTTAAAGTCATAATTCACAACATGACAATTAAAAAAGTGCAGTTTTTTTTTGTGTAAAATTGACCGACACGGCCTGGTCTCAAGTCATTGGATTAATATTAGCACCATGTTCACCATACTTAAAGGGCACATTGTTTAGATGTTTTGATGCACCTGCATTTTTTACACACCATAAACTGTATAAAGAATGGACAGAGCAAAATTCTGCTTTCAGTGAAGCCAACATATTAAGAGTTCCCCCTAATGACAGGTTGCAGCATTGTTATGAGTATAATATGAGTTAAACTATAAAATTAAAATACAAGTCAAATCTCTCAACCCAAGATGCTGATGTGGTGGCTATAGATATTATCAGGCTGGTTTTATGTTTAAGTCATTTTTATTAAAAAAAGGTATAACAACACAATGATTGACAGCTCTGTTGACAATGGCAGATTCTGCTGCGCTGTGTACGCCGGATTAAGCAGAGTAGAAGAGGAGCGGCAAGAGGAAATGTAACAAACACTACAACAAGCTTCATTTAACTTCCATAACCATGAATGTCTGCTTCAAACCAACACAAAGAATCTGTACTGATCCGAGGGATCTTTGATGTTAAATGAGTGTTGTGAGCGGAAGCAGCTCTTCCAGCTACTCTCTAGATTCTGGCTCCAAATGCACCGTCACAGGGGGATTTTGGCTTCATCTTTGTACAATGGGTAGAGGTCGGCATCGTTGTCCATCTTATTATAAAATCTATGTTACATACAGGGAGGTCTTTCCTGACCCCAGTATAGTGCTCTCATCATTGTGAAACCCTTTTCAGTGATGCTAGAAGGTAAAAAAGACAATTCTTTGGATCCCTGATGCTTCCATAGATTGTGCGCTTGCCTTTTCACTTCATGCATGTACAGATTCATACTTAAAGGAAAATAGTTTTCCACAATGTCTTCCCAAATTCACCATTAAAAAACAACTGGGCCAGGTGCAGACAGCTCCACTGCCATTGGATATGACCCAAATGTTGTATGCCCAAAACAAGTCAAAGAATATTTAAGGGACTAATTAAACCCTCACATCACACTTAGCAAATCATTTTTTTGCACCAGCAACAGAAGATTAGACACCTCATTAATATACTCATAACAAGCACTTTGAAAAATGGGCCATGTGTCTGTCAACTAATATCCAGCGTGTCTCTATCACAACCTCATGTTGGATCTTCTTGAATCTTTCCTGCCAACACTAAGGAAGGATATAATCATGAAGATTATCATTTGTAAAGTGAACACAAAGGACTAAAATTTAGGTCAGAGAGAAATATGCGAGCCTTTATTTTTTAAAGATTAGGATTTTTATCAGCATCGAGAAATTAAGCCATATTTAAGTTCCCCTGACACTTGCGCGCGCGCGCGCACACACACACACACACACACACACAGCAGCTAAAACTGGGTCTTATAACTGGTGTAAAGACTCAGTCCAAAAAAGTTTGTTGTGCTTGGAGAGAGTGAGTGAAAAAAAGTCAGAGTGAAAGAGAGAGAGGGACAGAGATATACAGAGAGAGAGAGAGAGAGAGAGAGAGAGAGAGAGAGAGAGAGAGAGAGAGAGAGAGAGAGAGAGAGAGAGAGAGAGAGAGAGAGCTCTGGCCACAATGGGAACCACATGTTTAAGGAGATAGACCAAAACACAGCTTGTGGGAACGTTCAGTGCTTGTTTTTGTCCTGCGGATCTGATCGGTCACAGCTCTAATGTTCTTCATTTACATGTTTTTGATGCTGTGCAGCGTTGAGATACAGATCTTGTTGCTGCACATACCTTAACCAGCGAGGCAGGTGATGTGACCGTGAAAAAGTCACATCAAGAGTGCGAGGCCGAGCCACAGGACCATTTAAGTGCATGTGTGTGTTCTTGTATTTCTAAACCTCTAAGGCAAAGAGCGCAAGCTCAAAAGTGTCTGAAATGATTGCTATGATATGGTTCAGGGTCAGGTTAAAGGGTGGGTGTCGATCCAGGGGGAAAAAAAAAAAACGACAATAATTTGACCATTTTTCTTTTCTTTTTTTTTTTCCTCTCAAAAATTCTCACTCTAGTTTGAGCTTCTTCAAGCAAACATTTTGTCCTTTTGTAAACTTGATATAATGAGTATTTTTCTGCCTTTTTCTTTTAACAAACCTGTGCTACAGTATTTGCTATTTTCTTACATTTTAATTGCAAAAATCATCAGAGAATTGATAAATGATTAACCAGAATAATAATCTGAAAATGTCTCTGTAATGGTTAAAGAACTTAACTCATATACTGTATATGCCCCCTCTAGTCCTCTAATCCATACAATTCACACGCATAGGGATGGCCTTCAGATCACAGTAATTACATACAATGTATAGCTACGAGCTAACTAGAGAGCGCTAACATTAGCCTGCTAACACAACAATGCAGGCCACAGGTGATTGCAGCTCGAGCCAAGGAGTATTTTGTCCAACGCTTGTCCTTTGTGTGAACACGAGTGGCGTGGGGTTGGAGGTGTGTCACCGGACGAGAGCATAGGCTTCAATATGGTGGATGTGTCGCCAAGCAGCGGTTTATTTTGGTTGCATGCTGGTGCTCAATCTACTGGATCAAAAAAGTCACACATTCTTCTTTTAAATAACAGAGTACTCTTTGAAAAGGAGTAAACATCTCTCGCTGTTGGGTTTTTATTTTGATCTTTATTGGTTTTAGTCTACTCCACTGGATTTCAAAACAGCCCTTTTGTGTGGGCACATCTGCAGCAGAAAAAGAAATGCTAATTATTAGGACTTATCAGCACAAGTTTATAGTTTGGAAAGTAAACCTGCAAAAATCTTCTCATTCGTTCTGTTCAACATCTGTGTGTGTGTGTGTGCATGATCAGCTTGGGAGAAGACACTCCGGTGGTCTTGAAGAAAATGCATCCTTGTCAACAGTTTGTTTTAACAGAGCTTCACATAATTGATCTTTTGGCTTTCAGAGTCGGAGTTGTTCAATTTAGCTGACGTTGGTTCCACAAAAACAACCCAATCGTTCCCTCCAGGATCAGCCTGAAAACATCTGACGTCACCGAGTGTGAGAATACAACACAAGTGTGGAGTTCAGGCACCTCCATCCAACATCCAGACAGATCATTCTCAGTGCAGAGAGAGCTTGTGTTTTTGTATGTGTCACTTAAACATGTGAAAGAGACACACAATCTCTTACACACGGTGACAACATACATGTTGAATGTAACGGGAGATAAGGAGCGTGTTGCGAAATTCATCACAGTGACGAATGACGAGCGGAATTATCAGGGTTTATGTTATTTGAGAGTACAAGCATCTTAAGCAGGAACAGATGGACACAACTGTGGTCAGAAGGAGGCTGAAATGTTCAATGTATCCCTGAACTAGAGGGACAGGCTGGTGTTGAAAAGCGATTTGTTTTGATGGAGGATTTAGAGCTGAACCGCATGACGTACCTCTACTTTATAGAGTGACGCTGTTACACAGATACACTTATTGATGGTTTGAATATAAGTAGATTTCAAAAAGAGGCAGTTTTTCTACACCTTTTTTTATTTTTTACAAACAGTATCACAGAAAGTTATGCATTATGTCTCTCTCTCTCTCTCTTTCTTTTAAAGCTTGATTTGTTTCTCGTCCAAAGAGTGTCTTCTGTTTAGAGTGAGTCAGGATGAGTTAGTGTAAAGGAGCTTCTTAAGTCTTTTTGAGCATAGTTTGGCTCCACAAAGGACATCAATTGGTCACATGTAAAACTTATTTTTCCAAAAATGTTTTCTGGATGCTGAAAAAACACTTTAAAGGGATAAACATCTTTCATTTTGTAGAGATACAAAAAATGTTAGAGATAAGATTGACCAAATAAAAAGTAAGCTGTCAGAAGTTTGTGTGTCTGGAAAGGCTTTGGTGTGTGAAAGCCAGACTTCACTGAGCTATAGACTCGTCACAAGTAAAGAAAACATGCCAGTCAAAATGTGCATTAATGGTCATCAGATGACATGAAGGCTAAAAAATGTTTCCAGACCTCAAAACTGCTCAATCAAACTCATAACACACAACCAAGTTAAGAAGATCAGCCGCTTTCAGCAACAACAGGACGTTCATCCTAATCTACACATTTTGCGTTATATCAGTGGTTCTCAACTTGTGGGTCGGGACCCAGGGGTGGGTCACAGAGTGGTTTCCAGTGGGTCCCAAAATGTGTCAAAAAGTCTATGAAGCGCTGTTTCAACTTTTTTGTTTTGTTCAGTCTCGTAGCGTGTCATACGTTTCATACCGTCTTGAGATCCTAACTGCACCATTGTGCAATAAATAAAATCTCATGGGTTGAAAATGTTCAGAAATGTAGGTTGTGATTTCGCATTAAGGAGGTGGTGGTGGGTCCTGAGGCTAGACCAGTGGAGAACCACTGCTCTACAGTATATCAAGGCTTGAAGAGTTATGTTAATTTGGCACAATAAGGTGCGTGGTTATTCTTTTTAAGATTTATTTTTGGCCTTTTGTTCCTTTATTGGAGAGATGGGACAGCGGAGAGAGTGGGACATAAGAGAGAGAGTGAGAGAGTGAGGAATGACATGCGGGAAAGGAACCCCATATTCGAACCCGGGCGGCCCATTTTGAGGACTTAAGCCTCTGTACATGGGGCATGCAGATTAACCACTCAGCCACCGGTGCCCTGTTGCATGGTTGATTTGACTGACAGGTGGGCGTAGCTGTTTGCTATGGGAGGATAGGGATTCACAAATCCTGTTAATGACCTTGAACTGTTGGCAATAAGTTTTAGATTATGCTAGCTTGATAACGAGCGAGATGATCAAGTTTCAGCAGCCAAGATATTCATTCAGCCCACCTTCACTCCACCTCTTTATTTGCGTCTCCATAAGCAGGAAGTTAGTTAGTGAAGTGAACATTTCACAACAGAGAACACAGCTTTGTTGGGCTTTATAACGCCTCTTCAGAAACCAATGGGTGACATCACTGAGACTACATTCGTATTTTAAACAATCATTGCTATTGCCACAGGAAAATGTTGTGACATACATTTTGGAGCCATTTAAATCTGGATAACAATGAAGTCACCTTGCAACGAAATCCCAGAGCAATATTAGCTAAAGAGAAAAAGAGAAATATTTTCTGTTGACTATTATGTCAAGCTAGGATGGAGTTGTTTTAAAAAGAAAGTGGTTGACTAATAGCTAAAAGAGACACAATCAAATGTTAGTAATAAAGTAATCAGAAACATGTGATTAATTCCCCCAATAGGCTCATATTACGGTAATTAATGATCTGTTTAACAGCTGGTCCCTCCCCCTGGGGAGAATATGAATCCCCCATCAAAGAAGACTCCAGGCGCTACTTGAAACAGCTTCTCGTACTCAATAAAACAATTGTGGCAATGATAGTGTGTGAGAAGAAACAAAGGCGAACGACCTGAATAATAAAAACAAGAGAAAGGAGGGTAAAGAAAAAGAAGAAGGCAGCCCGAGGGGAACAGAACAGAGGAAGATAAACATGGATAGAGATGTATAAACCTTTTTTGGGCTGAGTGCCTGCACGCTAACAACAAACAAATGGGCTGCGCAGCTCCAACTAATGAAAGAGCTGAGTGGTAGAGTTTTCATTCGAGATGTTGCGTCTAAATTTAACCCACAATTGTTTCCAGGCTCAGCGGGAACAGCATCCCACCCACATGTGAAGCAGACTCCAGATCAGGGGTCGCATTCGTTTTGAGTTGCCATCAATCAGCGCGGGCCGCGTCCCCTGCCAGCATTACGACATAGCATGCCGTTACTGATTTGAACAAGCCTGAGGAGTCACTGAGTGCCCTGGCAGTGAGATTCCTACCACGTCGGGAATAATCAGATCTCAACAGATTGGAGGAAGAACATTGAACATTGAGCACTGCTCAGTTCCCCGGGCAAGTAATCCTGCAGTGTAAAATCACATTTGTATGATTGGGTCACTTGCATTCAATCAAACTGAAAGCATCTATTGGCTCAGAAGAGGTTTTGTAAATGATCTTTCTGAACACAGAGTTTCACCCAAAGAGGTTCATTATACGAAGATTTTCAGTTCTCACGTTCCCACGCTGCGGTCGTGTATTTTCTTTAATGTAATTTTGCTCTTACAAGAGGAGAACACTCACCAATAGATGTTGTTGCTGTTAGGGCTGCACAATAAACTCTCAATGTTATGAAGATCACGATATGAGCATTTGCTATGAAAGTATCGCAAAAGTCTATATCGTACCAAAATAAGAAAAGCTATTTCATCCAAACAAGCATGTTTTCTCACTCAGCATGTTTACAGTTTAGAAGGCTAATTAAATGCTTGATTTCGATTGGGCAATTGCACAAGCAAAAGTCTGGGACGCGGCTCTTTTCATAAAATCTGGAGGACGAACTGTAATCATATCAATCCGCTGAAATAAGTCCAGTTAATGTGACGGATTAAAGGAGAAGATAAAAGCATTGAGAAGCAGATCAAATACGCTAAACTGCACGCTATGACAGAGCCTGCCCTGATGTGGGATCTTGCTTTTGTTTTTTTTTCTTAGTGTAAATAGGAGTGTGTTGATGACGTGCTGGAGGATCGCTGGTTTGCATTAACCTTCCAGCTGCTTGTGGCCTTTAGCTCTTCATCTGATGACGTTTGTCAAACTGATCTGCCGGCTAAACAGTGCAGAATATGTCTATACTTAGTTTTGTAACTTTTATCAAAAAAGGAACAAAGCCCCACTAACTCTCGATTAACACATTGCAAGATATCTTGCTTCTTCGTCATTTAAGCCAGAAAAAAAGTGAAATAAAGTGGATTTTGAAAGATTAATTTCACAGGGACTTAAACCCCAGAGGTCTGGACAGAAGTCATAAAATCACTGTGAAAATAACAACAACAGAGCTTTCTCTAACGTCAGTAGCATGAACACATGTGTTGAGTCATTTTGATGTTAGGTTAGAGGGGGAATACCATTACAGGTTGGCCATGCTACCAAGCAGGTCCAAAACAGTGAGCCAAAGCACGGCAGAGCCACCGCCTGCTGCGAGGACTCAGGGGGAAACATGTGTCCACAGCTTGGCTCCATTACACTGAGCGTGTGGGAAAACAGAAGTACTGACATGACTCAGAATTTCATCACAAGAATTGGATTCAATAACAAGATTCAACAACTTTATTTCGGCTACGTGCCTCGCCAAATTCCTAAGTTAGAAGAGTTTTTTTTTTCGGTTTTGCATGTAAGACTTTTGTTTTCAACATAGAATACACAACTAGGTTTAGGTAACCCTTGGTGATTATTTGAGAAATGTACTATTTGGGGCTTGTTTTACACCGGGCAAGGGTCTTTGAAAATGAAGTCAAAAAAGTCACTTTTCAATCCAACTCAATCTCAATTCTACCTTCAACATCTTGATGCCTTTTGACCTGCAAATCACCAAGTCAAAGCAAACTGAACAGCAGCGTTTAAGCTCACTTCAAGGGCACTTAGGGGAAGCAATTCAACCAAAGAGAGAGAGGCACTTAAGACTTCTCAAGTGCCCCTTTGGTGTTGAACTTGGACCAGAATGAAGCACAGAGATGTCTCCTTTGAGAACAGCCAAGTCCTCTTTTAAATAGACATTTCAAGATTCAATTCGAACAGGCATTCACTTTGCTTTGCTGACCTTCAAATATGGTGAGGTTCTTCAGGACCATGGAGTGCTCCCAGTCTTTCAGGCGGAGGTCCTCTGCGATCGTGTTGAGGATCTCCATCTCGTTCCTCAGCTGGGCCTCCGTGTGGACGTGGGTCACCCACAAACTGCTGGTGTCCTCTGTGATGTTGCTGATCTGGATCTGAGCAGCAGGAGCATGGGCAGAGGAAGTGTCAACAGCACTATTTCATGAGCATGACAGTAAGACAGTAAGATTCCCTCATTGTGCCTTAAAATCTAGCCTTTATAATGTATGTTTTTAGGTATGGTATAATTTGTTCAAAGTTGTTTTGAGGTCTTTTTGTTGGGAGGAGAGAGTGGGGGATGACATGCTGCAAAGGGACAAGGTCAGATTCGAACCTACAGTCGCTGTGATGACGACTATAGCCTCCATACATGGGGCAAGCAACACAACCGCTCGGCTATCGGGCACCTGTGTACAGTATGAATTCTAACTTTTAGCTAAGAACGAATATTTTTCAGCTGTATGTGTATTTCAATGATTATGATGTATTATTCAAATATTCAAAGAACCTGCAAGTCTTGTATCTTCACATGATGAAAACTGATGTCATTGGCGAAGGTATGATTGACAGCTCCCACCGTCCAATTAACCTCGTCCAGTTTCTCTCTGAGCCTGCTCAATTGTCCTGAGGTTTCCCTGTCAGAGGACAGGAAACAAACTGAACTTTAGTCTTTATCTTTATGAAATTCAAAGGGTGAAGCGTGCCAAACGAGGCTTTTCTGTGTGGTATGAATTGTACCTGAGCAGGACATCGTGGTCGCGGAGCCAGATGGAGGATCTGGACACCTCTGCGTTCAGGCTCGTCAGGTTCCTGCTGGCGGAGCTGCTCAGAGAGGACAACCTGTCGTCCAGCTGCACCAGGTAACCCTCTGACTGAAGGGAGTTCGCCTGGATACTCCTCAGCTCCAGCTCCAGGCCCTGTAAGTGGACGATTTTAGCTTGAAGTTCAGCTTTATCATAGTTATCTTGTTTATTAGCAGCTTTAAACACCATCGCTACAACACGTCCATTGTTGCACATACAGTATGACGCAAAGTGCAGAAATTGTTCACATTTGGAGAAACTTGATTTTAACAGCACTAGAAGGAAAATAGTTAAAGTACAAAAACTTGTTTTGTAACAATTAATTACCATTTAAGCTACATATCACTCTAGTGCTGCAAAGTGACGATATTTAGCAGGTTCCTGGAAGATGAACGTTAATGTATGCATGATATGTTTTACTGTTAAAGAAAAGCAGGAAGCATGTACGAGACAAGATCAGCAATGAGATAGGAAGAATTACTTTGTATGCAGGGGGGGCAGAAAAATCCTAATAAAATCAAAATATTTCACAGTAGTTTCAACGTGAGCTACAATGTGCTTCTACTGTTCACGTGTGAACAGAGCTCAGCTGTGATCGACCACTTTTTCAGCAGTTCTGATTCTTTAAGTTAATTTCCACCTTCAAATCCTCCATTGACATTTCAGAAAATCCTTCAATATCAATATTTTTAATCCTGGAACCAAACCAACCAGCTCCCATATTACTCGTGACAATTAAACGTTTGATAAATAGATAGAAGATAAATCTACATTTTGAGAGTTTAGAGCTGTAGTTAGAACACGTTTCATTCACTTTAATGATGAAAGAGTGAGAAGACTCTGATTTGCATTAAAAAAAAATGCATCCCGCAAACCTTTGGGATTCCAATGAGAACCACAGATACACAGACCTCTTTTATTGTAGTGTTTAAAGTATTAATAATCATTTTGTGATATTTGTAGTTTCTATGTAGTGTGTTGAACCTCCTGTGAACTTCAGTGGTAGCAACATTTCCATGGTAACATCAGAGACGTTGTTGTGACACTAGGACTGTGGGTGGTGGAGTTCTTTTTCTCTAGGTCATGAATAAACCATGCTTTTCTTAAAACGAGCTTAATATCATATGAACTTTTGTCTTCTACAGGAGCACATTCAATCGTTTTACACTGAGCAAGCGTGTGTTGAGTCTACCTTGGATGGTTATGACATTAAGGCTAATAATCAAATCCGCTATGGAGAGAATGAATGTTTTTTTTACTGCTGGAACCACACTGCTGAACTCTAACGGAGTGAGAAAAAGACAAACCAGTTTTAATGTTTACACAGCACAAATGAACTGTTGCTTTCAGACAAATGTCAACATTTAGAAATCAATCCTTTCGTCATCGTTTCACTCCTGTAACAGTTCCCAGGTCTACAAAAGCTCATGTTTCCTCTCTTTGCTCTTTGTGTCGTACCTTGATGAGGATCTCCAGCCTCTGCAGCCAGTCACTGTGGTTCTGGAAGAGGTTCTCCAGCTTCCAGATGTTCTCCAACATGTCAGCCTGAGTGGAAGCCTCGCCCAGGTCCTGCTGGGAGCGCTCCGACATCCGGGTCACGTTCTCCATCAGCACTTCCTGGCGCTGTGAAGACACCTGGGAACGAGAGACTGGGGAGGAGAAGAGAAAGATGGAGAGAGTTACAAATCAGTTTTGAGTGTCGATTTACTGATCCCTCAGCAAAGTCCCCAAATCGAGTATCGTTTACAACCAATCACTACTGACTGAGCCAGCATGTAAATGTAGAGCAGATGTTGAATCAGTCACTTGCACTAATTCAGGTGCTCGCTTCTTGCTAAATGTATTGTTTTGTCAAAATAAAACCTAAATATTGTTATGACTTCGAAACCTGTTTTCCGGAGTTGGCTCTCTTGTGATGTTTTCAGTGCTGCACTGAAAGCATATTGTGGAAATTCTGTCTTTATTTTGACTGATGTTGAAGTTGGCCTTTGCATGATGCTGTCCATCCAATTCTTGCTGGAGAGAAAACATGAATCCAGAGGGTTTTTCCTTTACAATCTGACATGGATCCCCTAATAGGAATGGTATAGATTTCATAAAAAAACATTATTTTACATTTATCTGATAGCTGTACTCTCATCTTACTTTCCAGAAGAAGATTCTATAGAAATCAAAAAAACAATACAATACATATAGAACTAACTTTAAACGTTTATTATATTTGGGTTAGAGGTTATATTTTTAGCGTGATTAAAAGATGAGTGGTTCTATCAATGTTGGTTCACAGCTATGTTGTTGGTCTTTCCTCTTCACTGTAAGCCAAAATGTCGACTTCTTCATGTTAGCATATGTTATATGTGAAGTTAACCTACATTACACATGACACCACATGGAGCATGTTTTGATGAATTTCAAACCCAAAAAAACAGAAAGAAACAGACGTAAGAGGAAAAATGTGTTTTCCCTTTTTGGTTGTGTTGAGATTATTGACAGAACAAGATCTAAATTACAACTTGTTTATTTAGCTGGAAAATCACATTTGCTAACCGTTAACACATTACCAAGGAACGTTTCTCGTCTTTCTTTTGGCTGTGGCATAAAGGCCACTTCTTCTTTTGCCTTTTCTCTGTTCTCCACCGTGCCTAATGAGGAAACGCTCCTTGGTTTCATGTTATGTTGGGAGCATGTTGCATGGTAACGGCTCGATAGCCCGGGAGATATTTTGAAACCAGATCCATTACGCCATGACAAAATGCTCTCAGCAGGGACCAACGCCTGCAAAAAACACTTTTGATGGAGAAAAAAGGGATGGCGTGGAAAACAAGTGGAAGCAGATGACTCCCTCCACAAATGCTTTTTGACACTCCAATGCACCTTCAAAACTGATATTACACTATTTCTGTACCCAAGAGAGCTGTAGTGTTTCTCTGTATGTGTGGCTACATGAGTTAGCATCAAAGCTTAGAAACATCTGCATGACGTCAGAGCAAGAAAAGTTCTGCAAAGCCACCCCGGCTGCAAACAAACCATCTAAATTCCCACTCGTTATGTGTGTTAGCTTCATTCCTAATGACCTGAAGAAAGAAATAATCTGAAATCTATCCACTACACAGGGTGCTTAATTGCTAAATGATGGTCTGTCAGCAGCAGCAACACACACAGACATAAATTTAACATCACCACAATCTGATAGGAGGGCATTCTCAGTGGTTATTCCCCTTAAAATGAAGATGAAAAGGAGAAACAAGACTAAAAAGTTGATGAAGGACAAGACAGAGGTTAAAAAAGAACGCATGAGAAATGGGATCATATAATTACTTGGGTATAAAAACACTTTCAACAGCTTGCAGCATGAATAGGGCACGGTGGCAGGAAATCCAAAAATATGTCCCTAGAGCAGGAACTGAGCAGCACCAACATTAACACTTACACATGTAAATATTCAACTTTGCCTTAAACTTGAGGGCATACTTCGTAAGTGACCTTTTTGTTTTCACTTATTTCCCATATTATTAGCCCTTGGCATTTACTTTTTCTTACTCTTTGTGGAGGTTGTGTTTGGTATTTGTTTGTAGCTTGGCTTTATTGAACAGCATTTCTACTGAAGCTTTTGAATGTCTCAGGGTACCAATTTAGAGTCTCAATGGAGTGGAAATGTACAAGTCAAATTGTCCAGAAGACCTGTGCATGGGACCCACATTTTTGTCAGAGAATCTTGTCAGACAAATCTGAGTTACAAAAGGAGCAGCGGCCTCGTGTTAATGGAATCTAAGCATGGTTGCCAGATTTTTCTGAAATTTGTCAGAGGAACCACAGTGTGGTTTTGCAAGTTTAAGGTGTAGGATTACATTAGTTAACCACAGTTTGGGGCTGTGGATTCTCACAGTTCAGGACAAATATGTGCTAACGGAGTGAAGACATAGATATAACTTCAATCCTGTCTTGTTACCGGAACACATTTGAGTAAATTATTCATTGTGTATCCTCTCAATTCCATAATCAATCACCAATGGAAATCAATCTCCACTAATTCATGTCTGTGAAACTGCTATTCTGTAAACACAGAGAGTATTGAATATACTATCAAACATGCACAGAGGTCACTGTCAGGTAACTACATAAACACTTTTCCATTTTTCATTTCCACTTTGGAGCTGTGAATAAGCTGTGAACACAACACCGATATTTTATCACGTTACAAAGTTCATTTGCCAAACTTGTTACCTAATTAGACCCGAACAAGTACCAGTTGGTGAGGCACACACTTTGTATATTAACAGATCATAAATTGGCCCATTAGCAGCTGTTATCACTACAAATTCAGAATGTGGATACTGGGTTTATTGAAGCAAAACTGTGCAGTCAGGTTTAGGCACCAAATCGACCTTGTTAGGTTTGGAAAGAAGGTCATGGTTTTGGTTGAAAATACAACTCATATTAAGTGAAGGAAGTGGGATACAACCAGTAAAATAAATCAACATTGACCTTTGGACTCATATGAGAAATGAAACCTGCACTGTTATCAAAATCTTTAACTCTCTTGGCACCCTAAATTATTTTTGGAATATTTACAGGACGATTTAGTGAGCTTAACAAGAAAATGAAAAATGCATTAACACACAATGCTCAGATCATTTCCTCTGCATAGTGCAATGATGGTATATTACAAAACAGAAATTAGGGTCTTAACTCGCTCTTTATGTCAAGTTAGGATTTAAAGCTTAATCAGAATAAATCCCAGATCTCTGGGGAAAAAAGTCGAACATTTATTTAGTGTTTTTGAAAAGCGATAAATATACCCCATGAGCTGTTATACATTTACCCTAATGATGTCAAACTCCTGTTGAATTACAACATGAAAGATTAGCTTTGAGTGTGACTAATGAGACAATTTTGAGAAATAGACTGCAAGAAGAAATACAGGCCTGATAAATTCAATTCAAACCTTTCATTCTGCCCCTCAGCTTTGTATCAAATCCATTTGTGTCTTTTCCATTCATAACCTTTTCTTTGCACTTTACACTTACATATATACACAGAAAGACATGGCAGCAATATGCAAAAACAGATCAGTCCATTCACAGCTTCATGGTATTGGAATTGGTCTGCAGAGAAGAAGACGCATAAAACTATTGTATCAAATGTCGGGAAAGGAGGTCAGTACATCAGCTGGGCTTCAGTGTGTAATGTGAATGGATTATGCATTATCTTTCCAGTTCTGACAGGGCTGGACCAATCTCATTCTGTGCCCTAGGAAGGCTTTCCCTGGTACATATCGCCCCATTTTTAACTATAAACCACAAACAAAGTCTTACCAGCAAAAAAAAAAGAACAAAAAATAAATGACGGTGGGCCCCACAACGTAAGGAAAATTATATAGTCCCCACAAATATAGTTAAACAGGTACACACACGCACCCACACACACAAAGCCTCCAGTGAGACAGACAGGATGGCTGGACAGTGTCATGGTTGGGGCAGACAGAGAAGACAGAGGGAGGTCTATTAGGGCTGCATTCCTCTTTGGGCAAAGCCAAAGGCAACATGGTGCCTTTTATAAATCTCTTTATCTGCAGCCTGTGCATTTGTGCATGTGTCTACAATGGTGCAACGTGTGTGCATGAACAACTGATCAACACGCAACACTAAAACAATTCTTAAAATGTGTTTGTATGTTAATTCTAAATCTGCAAATTTGTAACCTGTGTCCTTGATTGGATAATTCAAGTTTCTTCTATTTTAAAGTAAAACTTAATATGGTAAGTACATCAACACTATAAAATGGCCTGGTGTCATATACATGTTTCAATAAATACTTACATGTATGTGTGATTACAGAAAGCTTTATTTAGCTTTCAAAAAAGACCCTACCATTTCTAACTTGGTGAAAGTCCCAAAGAACTCCAATGTCTATCAAAGTGATATACAGATGAGAAACACGGGTTTAATGGTGCAGGCTAATATATATTATAAAACAGCTGAAATCAAAATAAGACAGGAGGTGTGATGATTCAGTTTGGAAATTTCTCAGCATATGACATTTTTTTCCTCAACATTTGTTCCATCTTAAGCTTAAAATTTCACAATTTGTATTTTTTTTATAATGACCATTCCTGCCAAAACAAAAAACAAAGCTTTGCAAGGGATATGCAATTAATAGACTCAAGACAAGACAACTTTCATTCACACATGTTTTTACTCTTAAGTAAATGTTAACATATGAAGTCAGATTTCCTTCTTGATTAAGACATTCACCAATAACCACCATCCATACTGAGATGTTTTGCCCCATCTAAAGCAGATAAATAATCCATACATGTCGCAGGCAGTCAAGTATTAAATTAAATAATAGTGAACTCATCATGTTAATCTTTATTGTGGAATTGAATGTACATAATCAGAAAGAGAGTCTAAAATGAAATCTCAAGGTGAGTTTATTCAATGTTATGAAAGTTCTGCAAAGCCAGCTTTTATTTCCAAACAGAGCTATCATGTTCAGTGTGTGTTCTACTTTATCTAAATGGTGAATACTTTGTGCAGTTGTGGATCAGATTGTATACAATCCACAGACAGTCTGAAAAAGTTTGATTTGGAGACCACACTAAATCAGAGGGGTCCGGTTGAGCTGTTGGAAAAAAGTAATCTCTTGT